GCCACACACTTCATACCGTTCACGAACTGGAGCAGCACAGGATAGTTGGTGAAGACGGCCTGCAGCCAGGTGAAGTGGGAGCCCAGGCAGTCTGCGGGGTGGGGCAAGGCCCGGGGGCACTGGGAACCAGAGTCTAGGAGGGAGCCCCAGGCTGATGGCACCTCATCAGCCTAGTAAGCACCTGCTGTGTACTCAGGACTGTTCTACACAATGGAAGGGAAACAGGCTCTAAGCCATTGTTTCTGTTGGTTGCCCACCTAACAGCCATTTATCCCTTCTTCCTTACTAACAAACTAAACAGTTCTCAAGGAAGGTGAACTTTTGCCCTCAGTCTTTGAGGATATTTCATGATCATTTTCAGCTGGCCACAGTAGTCCCACACTTCCAAGACAGTGATGGGTCTACAGCTAAGCATGTAACCCAGATCTGGCTGAAAAACCTTAAGATGAAGTCTTTTAGAGGCTTCTGGGAAACATTTCTTTTCTAATAAAGAATAAGGGCATGTAAAAAGATCTCTTTGATCTATACCTTTCTCCTTCCTTGAATGTGGATAAGGATAAGCTGGCTGGAGCTGCAGCAACTACATTGCAATCGTGAGGCCCCAAACCTAAAGTTGAAAAACTTTTGCATACCAGACATACCACAGAATCTTGATAACTTCCAGGAATGAGACCCAATCTCATTCAGGGTGGCAGTGGAGCAAGGCAGAAAGAGACTCCTGGGTTTCTGATGCCCACATTGAGCTACTGCGTCATTCCTGATGATTTCAGACCACTTGAGATAATTAAATGTCTTTATTATCTGAGTCACTATTACTTTGCTGAATGGATCCCAAATGATACAATGCTGCCACTATAGAACTAAAAGCCAGTGTAGGAAGGAAAGAGGTACAGACATTTACAACTTTTGAGCACCTACTAAGTGCCAGAAGTTGCACTAGGTGCTTTCAATAACACGATAGTTAAGATGGACAGAGTGTGTAGTAAGTTGGAAAGCACTCACTTTGTTATCCCACAGACCTTGTGTCAACACTGCAACATGGATGCTATTCTGTCACTGCCATTTCACGGTAAACAAACTTACTTTACATTTCACATAAAGAAACTGACCGTCTGAGACATGCCAAGGTATCAACCAGGGATAATGATTTTCCCTAAAGTCTACAGCAAACAAAATTGGCAAGAAAATTTCCTTTTCCATGTTTTCTTCCCGCAAGTCCTTTCATCCGACAAATGAAAACATGATTCTATGCTGACCGAAAAAGCCACTCTAAGGGGTGTGTGTGTGTGTGTGTGTGTGTGTGTGTGTGTTTATGTAAATATGCATTTTTATTGAAAAGCTTATAGGGCACCTTCACCCTTAGGCTCAGTTTCCTTACCTGTAAAATGGGGTACCTGTACCATTCCCTTCCCGGCAAGTCTGTCATCATAACTAATGCAGTAAGGAATATAAAGCACGAGGCAACTCAGTGACTCACCCTGCAGTGAAAGGTGTCTGTGCTCTCACCAGAACCTGGGTCAAAGCTGGGAGCTGGCTGGGGAGGCCGTCGGAGCTCCAAAGGCAGACACCAAGGCCCTGGTAATTTCCTTAGATTTCCCACACATACTCCATTCCCTGACACTTGGTGGATAAGAACAATTTCAGATTTAACTTACCAAAAATTTCGGCTGCACTTTCCACATTTTTAAACATCCCATTGAAGAGCGTGATATCTAAGTAGAAGAGAGAGAAATCAAATGAAAAAGTTTTGGTTTCTCTTCTCCCCTTTCCTCCCTCCCTGCTCACCCTCTGGGTAAAGTATTACATAAAAGTTTTCTGCCTTCTCTAAGGACAAATTTGACCTTGAGCTAACTTTCTAGTAACACAGGTTACCATGGAAACCTGGTAACGATGAAATGTGATTGTGCTACTGGGCAACACTGGCTCGATGGTGAAAATGATCCTTGGATGGTAAAGTATATCTGGACTGGTAGGAATTATGCATGAACTATAAACACCTGGCGGGGAGTCATCATCTTGGGACTCACTCAGTAGATGACTGTTATAAATGGTCATTTTCTTACTGGGCATCCTAGAAATTAAATCTATCAAGTCTTTACTAGAGATACTGATTCCTATGGAGAATGAAGCTTCTAAGCTGGGGCCAGTCCTGTGGTTGCCCCATGTGAGTCCCACCCCCTTCAGCTGTTACCTAGCGTCTCCCGAACTGCTGTGTAGATTGCCGTGAGGGCTACTCTTGCTGAGGAGTGGCTGCGTGGCCTGCTGGCATGCTGTGTTTCCAACCCTGATCCTTCTAAGTGCCAAGGGTAGCCATGAGTCTAAACGTCTACTTGAGGAAGGCCTCCTGGTGGGCATTGCGCTTCCTATGGGAGTTATGCCATTTGGAGAGAGGCACTTGTCATTTGGATCTGTGTGGGACTAATCGCTTTGCTTACACAGGTTCATGCGTGGATAATTTGGTTGACTCAACTCACCTCTCTGAATAGTTAGAAATGAACCCTCGATTCAAGGCTGACATCACCAGCTAATTCTCTATGCGTTATGTCCTTCAGCCATGCCCATACAAGGACCCACCTGAGCAATCTTTATAATCCATCACCAGGAAAACTTTCTGTTCTCCAAGAAACGAATATAGATCCTCCTTTCTTACAACCAGAGCAAGCAACACATCATCTATCCCTCTTCGTCTTGTCTGCCTTCTTGGAAGCTCAGAGCTCAATTTGAAGCTAAAATACGTTATAACCCTCACGATCAGCCCATTTTCTGCCTTCTCCTGGTTTCCTCTTTCAGGTGACCTTGGGTCAGACACCAGGGAGACTGTCGGGGAGATACTTTTGAGTTCCACTTGCATCACTTTGCTTACAAATGCCACCGCAGTGAGTGGCTCCAGGGTATATTCGGAAGGTGGTGTTTTCTCTGCCAACATCCTAGACAACTTTCTTTCCAGCTCCTAAGAAAAGTTCAAAGAATTCTTACTGATATTTTTTGAGGGTTCTGGAGGCAGCTCCTGTGGAAGCTGTGGAGTGTCCAGAGCATGGCCCCCTAAAAAGAAGGAAGAGAAAGCAGGCTTAGCACAAACACTGCCACCACCGCCCACTTGCGGGACTAAGGCCGGGAGGTGACAGCCAGGAAGACAACAGGGATGCACGTAAATTCAATTCCATGCATGTTTTTCTAGAACCTGCTATGTGCCAGATCTGTGTGCAGCTCCTGGAAGAAATAAAAAGGTGGCTGGAGCAGCCCTGGCGTGTTACATTGGTTGGCCTTAACAATGGCATTTTTGGGGGGATGGAGAGATTTGAGGACTTCTCTTGGAGCTGCCTTTACATCCGAAGCCTTATTTACATTTTACGTTTGTTTTGGAGCTTCTTGAGATAAAGCACTGGTGGAACAAAGTAAAGGAATGGAAAGGATACCAACCCTCAAGGAGTTTATAATCAAGGACGAGGGTGTTCCCAGACTATCAGCATCAAAATCACCTGGGATGCAGGCTCGTAAACAATTCCAATTCTCATGCTCTCAAGTTGAAGCTGATGGTCTAGAAAACTCACCTTGAGAATTGTTGCTTAGGGGTATAACGATAATGGAGTGGGAGACCTATACTAGTACCCCAATACTGCCACTACCCTCAGCCAGCACTTACTTCATCATGGTGGGGTCATGAGGTTGCTGCCTGGAGCAATGGGGGCAAATAGATGGGAGTTGTAATTCCAGTTTGGCCGCAGACATGCTCCCGAAAGGCTCAGAGAGCTTATGGCCTTGTCCATGCTTACATTTTTCTTTCCCCAGTGATATGAAGCTTGTAGATACTCGGAAACTGTCAAAAGAGTTTTGTCTTTCTTCATCAAGTGGACAGTTAGATAGTCAGCCCTGTCAGTCTGACACTATTTGGAAACCATTAATGTGACAGTCACAAAGGGTCAGCCTTCACAGAAGCATGGTAGATTAAATCTGTTCAGGGAGATGCCCCCAGATGGTGCCTGACTTGGCCTTCCTTGGCTTAGAGCAGGTTTCTCAGCCTCACATTACTGACATTTTGGGTTGGGAAATTTTCTTTTTTCGGGGGTTGTGCTGTGCATTGTAGGATGAGCAGCATCCCTGGCCTCTGCCCACTAGATGCCAGTAGGAACATCTCCCCCATACGCACACACCCAGTGGTGCTGGGTGAGGATGTGCGTGTGTGCAAAAGCACCACCAGTTGAGAATCGTCTGCTTAGAAAGAAAGAATCTGGGCAGAGGTGAGAGATCCTGACTGACACAATGACTGACGGTCTGGACCTCATCTCTCGTTATCCCTTCTACCCACATTCAGAAGCTGCCACTTTCACTTTCTTCCAATAAAATCCACTCCCCTTGGAGTTTCCAGAAGCCCTGCCTGAGGGAGTCAGTGGAGCTGGCTGAGTCCTTGCTAGTGGAGACGATCCTGCGATGAGAGGAATGATGATGGTGGAAGCAACGATGCTTGCTGCTGCCAGTACCGGGACTGGCACCGTCAGTACACCAGCCCGCAAGGTTCCTCAAACTCCAGTCGGTGGCGTATCGCCTCTGCTATTTATACACACACACATATGTCAACTCACTTTTCGTGTTATTAAAAAAGAGTTTGATTTGCTTCCCAGTTATAAAAAGGTTTGTTTCATCTGGGAGTTCCTGTGACTCTAAACATGTATGCACATAATAACATGGTCTCAAAATGTATAAAGCTAAATTTGACAATTTAAAAAATTTCAAATCTGTCAGTAGGAGATTATTTTAATAAGCCACTCAATTTTAAAAAGGTAAATGTATTTACTTTTAAAGAAAACTTTTATTTATAAATGAAAAAGCATTGTAAATTACTACTGATTAAAATGAATAGAAATAAATTATAAAAATTATAAAACTGTAAAAATTTTAAAAATGGTCCTCTGTGCATTATCTACTGTCATCAATGTGTCATACTATGGTTTGAATCTATATGTCCCTCCCGAATTCATATCTTAGAACTTAAACCCCAAGGTGATGGTATTAGCAGGTAGGGCCTTTGGGAGGTGATTAGGTCATGAGGGGTTTGCCCTTGTAAATGGGATTAGTGCCCTTGTAAGAGGGCTTGAGGGAACTCCCTGGGCCCTTTTGCCCTTCTAACCTTCTGCTATGTGAGGCACAGGTTTTCCCGTCACGTGAGAACACAGAATTTGTCCCTTCGGCCATGTGAGGATGCAGCAACAAGGCCTTCTGTCCATTCCCTTGATGACAACTATCTAATGCTGATCAAATAGCCAATGTGCAGAGTGTGGCTAAGAGGGTATCGAGAGAAGCTTCAGAGTCACTGAGGGACAAGAGTTTTTCAGGCAGGAAAGACAGGGAAGAGACAACAGCAAAGACATAGCGGTGTGAAGCTGTGAGTTGTATTTGGGGGGCCACAGTGAGTTGGCACAGCTGGAACTGCACCCGCTCTTGGCCTCTATGCTTTGAACCATCCTAATTGCTCTCAGTTTCTCTGCGTGCCCTGGGTCCTGGGCCTTTGCAAAGGCTGTGGCCTCTGCTGAATATTTTGACCACGACTCAGCCTGGCTGAGCCCTACTAACGCCATGTGAGGCTTAGTGTGAACAACACCGTGTGGAAGTCTTTCCTCACTCCCTCCCCTGACCTTGGGGGACTCTGGGCTGGTGACCTCTGCTGCAGCACTTTCCACACTGATTCTCAGGGTCTCCTTCCTTCTCCGTCTCTCTCATTAGACACTGAGATCTTGAAGGCACGGACCCTCGTTGTCATAGTTCTACGGCCCAGCGCCTCACTGGGCACACCCAGAAACTGAACCAACGCTTGTGGAGTGGATCAAAGGGAACCGTGAAGACTGAGTTGGGATGGCTGAGACAGGAGGCCCAGGATCCGTAACATTTGTGCTGACTGTACTTGTCTAGGACAGAGAAAATGGAGGTTGGAGTTAAGACCCAGGACTGCAAATCCTCATCTAGGCAAGGGACAGGGAGAGGATGTAAATGAGAGGCCCGGGCCCAGTGCAGGGAAGCAACAGGGAACGCTGAGGACTGTGCAGAACTAGAGAGACCCAGGTCACAGCGAGAGGGAAAGGACTCGGCCCCAGGGCTTGGGAAAGGAGTCCTATAATTCAACTTTCTCAAAATTTGATAGAAACCTGGATTTTGGGGGAAATCTCCCCATTGTAAGCTCTTGGCTCAAATTTAAAACAAAATAGTATGCACTAAACAAAACAAGCTGACTTCAGTTTGAGGGAGAAAGGAAAGTCTGTTGCCTGGGGTGTGTGCAGTGTGGTTTGGGGGGCCAGTGCTCCATCTAGGTCAGAGGGGCAGGCTCGTGCAGGGTTGTGGCTGCACTTCTCTCAGGGTCCAGCGCCAGCCATGCATCCTCTCTGCCAGGTTCTCAGAACGGTTTCCAGGGAGAGGGAATTCCCTCCTGCCTGAGAACTGTGGGCTTTGAGGGGAGGGGGCCTGCAAAACACAGACGTTCAGACCAGGATGAAGACTCACGAATCCAGTTCTACTTGAGCCCTTGTCACAGAGCCCACGTAATTGCTCTGGCACATTTCACATTTGGCATAATTGCCTCGGAAACTAATCAGCGTAACAGCCAACAACTAAGAATACCTGCTGCCCGCTTAAGCAGCAATTGTAAAATAGTGCCTGCTCCTTGATAATTACTGCGCTTGCATTTCTTTGTGCAACTGGTAATTAAATCCCTGTTCTGGAGGGTGGGAGACGATCTTACTATGGGTGGGTGCTAATAAGGCATGCTTGCTCCCGGGCACTCTACTTACTCTCAGGATATCGACGCCCACACATTTTCATTAGCAGCTAAAAAAGTCACCCTGGATTTTAAACTGTTTATCCCAGAGGAGTGAATTAGTTCACTCACAAAGTCTGGCGGTGTGGTGGGGGAGAGAGACGGAAAGTCAGAGGCAACGCAAGGACAAAATTTACCAGAATGACACTGATTCTGATTCAGTGAGTTTGTCGTTCCATGCAGGAAGGTGACAAGCATCCGTCCTGCTGCAGGAGCAGAGCTGGCACTGTATTCTGCACACATCACCTCCACTGATTCTCGCCACAGGGCTGCGGAGCACACGTTGTCGTCACCATTTTATAGACGATGAGACTGAGGCTCCTGCGTGAAGCTCTAGCTTCTTTGACCCAGCACAGAGGGCTTTCCTTGGTCTGGCTCCTGCCGCCTCTACCTTGAACTTTATGTTCCTGCGATGCTGAAAAGCTTATTGTTTTCTAGACACCAAACTACTTCTTGCCATCCTGTTTTGCTTGTGCTGTGGTCTGGGCATGGGGTGCCCTCCCTGTGCCTGCTCCCCTTGCATTACTGACTCTATTTGATCCTTAATCTGGGCTGGGTTAGGGTTGCCACCCCTGGGCTAGCATAATGTCATGGACGTCCTCCTCTCATTGTACTTGTCACCCCATGTTCCCATGATCTGTTTATGTAACTGTTTCTCCCACTAAATTAGGGACTTATTGAAGGTAAGCACCGTGATGTATGTAATATATACTATATGTATACATTTATAATATGCGTAGATGGAAAAGAGAGAACACGAGTTGAATCAGTATCTGTTTAATGAAGGGATAGTGGAACTACACCATCCAAGGGCCAATGAGTGATGGGTGGCCTGCTAGACTCATAGCATCCTAGTCTAGGAAACGTTAAGCCTACTTAGAAGATATCATTTTTAGATAGTAGAATGGTAAATTCTATTGGCGATTTGCAGTGAGATTGCAGAGTATTGTGTGTGCTCCCCAGAAGATCAACCGCAAATGCCCAGCTCCTTTCTCAGAGGTTCTGGAAGGGGAAGTGGACCCGCACATGGCTGCGTGGTGTGGGCTGTGGCTGCGGGATAAACTCTGCTGCAGAGCTGCCGGACAAAGGGACCACGTGCTTTAGTGAAAGGCCCAAGGGACGCAGATGTGACCACGTAGCCCTGGCTGACTCCCGCTCTGCAAGTCAGGGGAAGAGGAAAGGCGGCAACTGCGCCGGCTGCGTGAGGAAGCAAACGTGAGGGCGGCTGCTCGTCCTGCCACGGGGGTGCAGGAACATCAGGAGAGACCTTGTCTCCCCGTCATCAACACGTACAAAGCGTTGTATCGAAACCTGACTCAGATTGCCACCAGGACGGCCGTGAGAAGGCACCTGGCAGAGCTGCAGCTACAGGAAGTGTAACTGAGCGAGGGCCCAGGGCCATGCCCTGAAGCCCAAGGCAGTGTTTGCACAGAGACCTCGCCACCCCCCACTGCCCTCAGGTGAAGAGGGGCTCCTTCCACCACCTTGCTTTTCACTCCTCTCCATTCTCCACCCCACCTCTCCCCCCCACACTCTCACATACTATGCGGGGTGCTCTAAGACACCCGTTGAATTAAACCTGCAGCTTATCACCGATGTTTGATTTCCATCATTCAATTAGGCAGGAGGATAAAAAGTACTAATAAGCAAATCAGATGAAATTTGACAATGCCTCCCAGTGTTCATGTTAAGTAATCATATGCCAGGCTGGAAATGCGGCGTAAAATACCATTACTCACCAACACAGGGCACCATCAGCATGCTTAGAAGCAGCACGATCATGGCAGGACAGCAAAGGACAGAGCTCAGGAAGCAACAGGAACAGACTCCTGGGAGAGAAGTCAGCAGAACGTGGTGAGTACACCTTGACAAACATGAAAGGACTCATACAAGCTTTGTCCTTCCTTGGTCCCACAGGGCAAGTGGTAAAAACAGAAAATTCCAAAAGGGTTTCTGTCTCAGCTTTGCCACTAATTAACAGCATGGCATTAAGGAGATCATGTTTTCTCTTTGAGACTCAGTTTGTCCATCTGTGAAATGGAAGTGTAACCATGATCTCCTTGAAGACACAGCTGTGGTCTCATTTATTTACTTATTTATTCTATGGTCGTTTATTCCAGGATGGCCTTGTGTCAGGCATCAAGGATTCAGGATCCAGGAATGCAAAGTGAGGAAAACACACTCCTTACCCGTGAGTTGTTCACAGACAACTGGGGAAGGAAGGCTATTTAACAAGTGCTATAGTTTAACTTTTTTAATTGCATTTTAAATACCCTGTACATTACCACCCCCCAGCATTCCAAATATACCCTTAGCAGGTAGGCATTGAACTTTTGTACCAGTATCACTTGACATATGAATAAATTTGGCAACCGCATGGTGGCGCTGCCTGCCAGCAAACAAAGTTTTTCCTGCAGCATCTTCCTTCCCTTCCTTGGCTTTTGAGCATTTTGAATACTTTGTTGCAGTCCCAGGCGTCAATAGATTAGCCTCAGGGTACCTCTGGGGGCAAAGGGGTCAGGTGGGCAGAGTCCAGGCATCTTACTGCATTCCAACTGTAGCAGCCCTGTGCTCAGATCCGCAAATATTTAACTTCAATAGGCACTCACTGAACTCCAGCCAATCATATATTTAATAGGAGAAAAAAAGAGACCAGAGAGATTTCAAAATAATTTAACTACCTAAAGAATGCAATATAGTTGGTTGACTTGGGCATATTCTGCTTTAGAACGTGTTTTTAGGACAAAGTATGAATGATAACATGACGTGACCCATGCTACCCAGTGGCATATATGGGGCTGCTGGATAGGGTTGTACATGTTGTGCACTGCACAAAGGTGCTTAGCAAGGGGGCAAGTAGAGGCTGGAATGCAGCCAGTGTTCAACTCTGAAGCTTGCCTTCTGCAGAGTTGCATCAACCTGGTGGATGATTCCTTCTCGGGCCATGCAACCAGACTCAAAATTAAGGGCAAGAAATGGAAAGTCTCCAGATGGAAAGCGGTATGCCCTGGAAACTCCATTGCTGAACATAGAGTCATTTCAGAGGAGCCCAGAGACCCCTTTGATGTCATACCCACATGACTGAGGCCAACGTGACCTTGGACAATTTAGTCATTAGCTGACACTATGTGAGATTATTTTATAGTTACCATCACACCACGAGACAATGTCAGAACGTCTAAACTTGGAGGGGCACTGGAATCATTTAGTCCAAACTCTCATTTTACAGATGAGATCATTGCAGCTCAGAGGTTAGCAAATTATGGTAAAAACGCCCCACTTCCCAGGTCTCCTGACTCCCAGTCCAGTGCTATCATATAACAGTAACTACCTATGAGTTTGTTGTGAGTATTGAAATGAGTCAATCCAAGAGAGGCATTTGACACAGTGCCTGACATAGAGAAGTTGCCAAAAACATTAGGAATCACAATTACAGCATCTGGCTTTCAGTTAAAGGCCCAATAAATAGTAGCTGTTACAATGAAGGCCTTGTGCTGTTCCCTAATTCCCTATTTGAGTGGAAGCCCCAGTTCGGTGAATGAAGGAGGGTGGTACGTTTAGCCCAGTGACTCTCTGCTCCTTTTCTCTGGTGACATTCATTTCAGGGGTACCCTCCCCTGGGTCGTCCTGCAGCTCAGATAAGACAGGCTGAGGGTGACGTTCAACTTCTACCTCCTTGGGTATGTTTATTGAATACCAATGAGCAAAAGTGACCTTATTACAGACATAACCTTGACTCGCTCTAATTTATTCTTTACAAGTAAGTTATAGAGAGGTGTGATTGGGGGGGGCTCTTATTTAATGAGTACAGGGTAAAAGTTCTAGAGATGGATGGTGGTGATTTTGTACAAAAATGGGGATGTACTTAAGGTTACTGAACTGTACACTTAAAAGGGGCTAAAATACAACACAATTCACAATAGCAAAGATGTGGAAACAACCCATGCCCATCAATACATGAGTGGATTAATAAAATGTGGTATATGTATACCATGGAGTACTATTCAGCGACAAGAAACTGGCGATATAGCACCTCTTGTATTCTCCTGGATAGAGCTGGAACCCATTCTACTAAGTGAGGATCCCAAGAATGGAAAAACAAGCACATGTACTCACCAGCAAATTGGTTTCACTGAGCAACACCTAAGTGTACATATAGGAATAACATGCATCGGGCATCAGGCAGATGGGAGGGAGGAGGAAGGGAGGGGTATATACATACATAATGAGTGCGATGCGCACCGTCTGGGGGATGGACACGCTTGAAGCTCTGACTCGGGGGTAGGGAGGAGTCAAAGGCAACATACGTAACCTAAACATTTGTACCCCCATAATATGCTGAAATTAAAAAAAATACCAAGAAAAAGGGGGATAAAATAGTCAATGTTATGTGTATTTTACCACAATTTTTAAAAAGTAAGTTATAAACCTTAGGACCTTATTCCTTTAAGCACAAACTTTCGTTTACTGGATCATTCTTTGTACCGGGTGCTCCACTGAGCATGCTCCATGTACTGTCTGGTAACAGCACCCTAAGACTTTCACTATCAAGACATTGCGCTTTCTGCAGGGTCTGGGGGACTTTCAGAAATGGTCAGTCACTTGCTGAGGCTACCTTTGCCCAGAAGGGGGCGCTACGGCAACGGCCAGACCCAGGCTTCAAACTGAGGTTGGCCAGTCTGACTCAGGTCTTTGCTCCGTATACGTTACTCTAAACTGCCAGGCCAGCCATTCAATCCAAACTAGGTGGCCCGGCGATTATGCACCGCAGGACTGTCATAATTACTGGTAATACTTGCTGGGGAGGACCCTCAGAGTGTCCAGCCACTCGCTGGGGTGTGGTGAGACAGCAGAGGACAACCTGCCCCTGAGAGCCAAGAACAGGGAAGTCACGGTGCCAACCAGAAGGTGGCAGCACAGGGTCGGCCCTGAGCAACAGTGAGGGCGACAGATTCTGCATGACAAGCACGTTGGGGTCTTGGGGTGGGGTGGCACCGGGCTGCTGCTAAAATCCAGTACCCTTCTGTTGGCCGAGTCAGGTGCCCTTGGGCGTGGGCCAATGTCCACCTGGAGGCAGGGCCACCTTCTCCTACTCTGCCCAAGAAGCCCCAGGGGCTATCATGTCCTCATAGGACAGTGCTGTCCTGTGGGGCCGAGAAGGCTCCCCAGGCCTCACTGTGGTCTGCATGCCGTGTTTGGAGCCCTGGCTCCCCAAGCCGCTCCTCATGGCTGATTCCGCAGCAGCCCAGGCGATGTCTAAGAGCAAGGCTTTGCTGGCTGGACAGACCTGGGGCGGGGTGAGGGAGTTCGGGCTCTGCCTTTTCCTCGTGGAGTGTCCTGAGCCAGACACCGACGCTGCCTGGAACTCACTTTCCTGGGCAGCAAAATGCATCTACTGGTGTTTTCCCATCAGGGCACCACGAGGGTTACATGGGAAATGTCTCATAAATGCAGAACGCCACGTCTGGCACACTCAGTGCTCAGGAAGGACTGCCCGGAGCTATTGGTGACTGTATTTCTACACCTGGTGCCCTGAGGAGAGTCATTGTGCCACACAGGTGTGTAGGATCCTCACTGACATGCAGTGGTAGATTTTTCCCCCCAGGTAAATCCACCAGGTGCTGTCCAGGTGGCGTCACATCTCCTTACAGATAGGCTGAGAGTGCCTGTGGGTTTCTAGCTACATCCTCCCTCTCTTTTTCCATTCATCCCTCCCTCCCTCCCTTCCTCTTTAGCTCCCACCCCATCAGAACTGGGTGCCTACCGTGAAAGTTCCGCTTGAATGCAGTTGGATGAACGATGCTTGGCTTCGAACAGATGGAGACTGAGCCCTTTATACCCCAAGGAAAGACCCCTAGTCACGTGACCCCTCTCCCCCTCCTGACATAAGAAGGCGGCCTTTCATGAGCGTTGGCAGGTGGGCTGCCCCAGAGGGAGGGGGCAATCATAACATTAAAGCTTGGAACAGGTGAAGGCTCCATATTAAGAGGCCCCATCTTGAGCCTCAGAAGAGACCCAGGCTCTAATTAGAGAACAATGGGTTCCTTGTTCCTCTCCACCCAGGGCACCTCAAAGGCTTGGAAGCCCCTGGATTATGCCTCGGGATCAGCAGGGGAACTCTGGAGGATGAAAGACTGATGGAAGTCACGTGGGCTCTCCCACAAGAAAAAGGACTGGTTTTGTCTGGTCTGGTTAATTTTTCAGCAAGAGGATCTCTGGGGTGATTCTTCTCATATATTCTTGGCCTCAGACCTGGGAATTTGATGCCTCTTTTCTTTAGGGGTTCTCTGCCCAAGCTGTGGGGTGGGGTGAGGTGGGGCTTCATGATCAGACATCTCAGGTTCTGCTGCCAGCCCTGCTACTGAGGAGCAGTGTGACCTTGAGCTCATCGCCTCTCAGTCTTGGCTTCCACATCCTTTAATGGGGATGATGCTGCTAGGGCGAGGAGAATGAAGTGAGCTACGTCCCATGTGTGGTGTGGGGGCTCTTTGAGTCCTAGTTCCTCTCCTCTTCTCCTCATATTCTCTTGAGAAGTGTTTTCTTTCCTGATTTGAACAAGGAGTACTAACATTTATTGGGTGTGTGTCACATACCACCAATGTTTTATAGGATTTTGCCCTCACCATCCCCGCAGCAGCCCTACCATTGCTGTTCTCATAATCCTAGGAGCAATGGAGCTTTAGCTCCACTTTACAGATGAGAAAAAATGGTGCCGAGGTTGAAGCATTTGTCAAAGCTCACTGTGATGGGATTATTCTGGGATACAGGTTAGACTGGCCATGAACCCTCTGAGTTGCTTACCTATTGTTGCCTCCTGCAGAAGCAGGACTCCTCACATGCCGAAATCAGGGCACAGCTGAGCCTTTACAGAAGCCACTGAAGGGCTTCTTCAAGTAAGTGGTTGTCCTTGTGCATTGAAACTTTTGTGTGAAGATCATCAACTACTGTTCAGCATCTCATGTGCATTGAGGAATGAGGTTGCATTGTTTCTGATCTTTTCTCCTTAGCACAGAAGACCCACCATCTCTAAAACTATTAAGTCAATGGGGAAATTTGGCTCAATGTAGCAAAATCCATCCTTTCAGCATCTCAAGAGCACAGCTATTGTGCAATGCTAAGGCACGATGACAACCTGCATAGGTGTGTTGTTCCAGACATCCCATGAGGATTTGAGAAGTTCCATTATCTCCCCATAGCCTATAATAGGGTATCTTAATCTTAGCACTGTTGACATTTTGGACCAAATCGTTCTTTTTGTGTGGGAGCTGTCCTGTGCATTGCAGGGTCCCAGGTCTCCACCCGCTAGATGCCAGTAGCACTCCCCACCAAGTGATGACAACCAAACATGTCTCCAGACATTGCCACATGCCCCAGGGGGTCCAAACCACTCCTGATCGAGAACCACTGGCTTCCAATATCCCTGGAGCCTTGGCCTTTCTCTTCTCGGTTGGTGGAATAAGGGTGAGAGTGAAGCTTTCACAAGAACCCAGACATAAGAGAAGAAATTCTGTTCTAAATGAGCATTTAAAATTGCATATTTTCCTATGACGGCTCCTGAATTTTTCACTCACACAAACCCACAGCACAGGTGCCCCTATGCAAAAGTAGGAGACATGCACACATCAACACACAGAGACGTACTCTGGGGCCAGGAGACACAAACACAGTCTTCTTTCCTCCCTCTCTCCCTCCTTCCTTCCCCTTCCTTCTCCCTCTCCCTACCTCCCTCTCTCCTCCCCTCTCTCTTTCTTTTACCAGCTTAGCTTACCTTTCAGGCATGAATGAAATATTCAGAAATGCAACTGCACCTTTGCTGCCAGGAAGAATGTGGTTTAATGATGTTACGTGTGTAACTGACAATCTCAGTCATCAGCTCAGGTGCGATAACTGTCCCATCTCTTGCACCACATCAGTTAACCACTGGCAGCCAGAGATGCACAAATTGGTAGGAACTCCAGTTCAGCAGCACCCCAGAGGCCTCCTCGTTGCCTGAGCCATCCCTTAAATCAGGACTCAGCTCAGGAGGGGTCAAACCTCCCTTAAACTGCAGGAGACCCGTGGACTCCAGGCACTGGCCTGTTCACTCCTGGGCCCTGTTTTTCTCCTGCCATTGCTGCTGTTATGACAGATGGGGTGACATAGAAAACTGGTCCCATATGGTCCTCCGAGCCTTTGTCCTTGATAATGGGCCAGATCCCTGCGCAGGCCTCAGAGGTGCTCCAGATTTTAGTTTTTTAAGGTCATAGTCATGTTCAGTCATTATTCCCAAAATATGGGGTAGCCGGGTCCATACGGGCTTTCCCCACGAAATAGCCCTGGTCTCGGGCTCGGGTGCTTAGTTCATCTTTTGCCTTCCCTGAGGATAAGTTACTCTTTGGGGAACCTTGGGAATCCTTTCCTGCCGAAGGTACTTAATTAATATCAACTTAAAGGTCTAATCAAATTAACCCATACTTAATAAATGGGCCTTTTCCCTTAATCCCTATTCAGGTAGGAGTCCCTTTGGCCCCTAGAAAAATTGCTGTGTCCTCATTTTTGCAAACGAGAGGGCTTTTGCAGGCCCTGTCCAAAATCATGACAGTAGGTATTTATGAGCTTGACATTTGCATAACCTCTAGTGTTCTGGAGATTAAAAAGAAATCTTTCTGTGGATGACCAGAGAAGTGACTGGTGCTCCTCCACTTAAAGTTCAAGTTCTACCTCCCTCTGCACCTTGTTCTTTACAGACAATACCAGGACACTCAAGTGTCCTCCCGTGGGGGAAAACCATCTCATACTTGGATCACAAATAGAAAGTGACTTTCCTCACCAGAGGGCAGCCACAGATCATAAAGGGGTGGATAACTGATGGCCAGTCAGGGTCCTAAGCGGCAGAGTGGAGAAGGAGCACCAGGCATAGCAGGAAGAAGGCTGTCCCTGGTAATGAGGAACGAAAAGATCCAAGCACGGCAACTGGTGAGAGCAAACCTGCTTAGTAATGCTCTGCATGGAGACTCAGCATTCGCAGGGATATTGGAGCAACTGCAAACCTGGAAACGGTAAAAAAAAAATGGGACCCGATACAATGAAGGGGGCACGTCAGTGTGTGGGTGGACTCAGCAAGTGGAGGATGTTCAATCACTGCACCTTCCAGAGAAAGTTCTGGCCCTTGACCAGCCCCTGAGGGATAACCTCCAAACTCTTGGAGTATCCTGCCTGAGTGTCTCTGTAAACTTGGGGCTTTGGGCCATGCCAGATGGTTAATGCTAACAACATGATTTGTGGTGGGGACTGTAGGCCATGAAGTCTCAATTTGCTCTCTTGAGGGACTGGGGACAGTAGCTAAGTTCAGCCATGCAGTCAGGCACTCCACACCTGCGTGACTGGCCTGCAGTGAAATCCCTGGACACCAAGGCGTGGTGAGCTCCCCTGGTCGACAACACTCCGTATGTGTCATTATACACCGCTGCCGGGAGAATTAGTGCTGGCTGTGCACCTCCGCTTGGAGAGGAAAGCCGAAAGCTCCTGCCTGGGCTCTCTCGGACTCTGTTCTAGACGCCTTTTGCTTTTGCTGATTTTTACCTGCATCCTTTTGCTGTAGTAAATGGTAAATATGAATATAATAACTTTTTTGAGCTCCATGAGTCCTACTAGTGAATTATTGAAATTTATAGTGGGGCCTCCTGAATATAGTGGGACACACAGAAGAGAAATCCAGACAAGGTATCAATAAAAACAACTCTCTAAACCTCCTCCTGATGGAAAGTTTCCATCATCTCCTACTCAAGGCGGCTTGGAAGATTATCTAGATCCCATAGTATGACAAATTTGATTAGTTACATATAACCAAGTTTTAGTTAACTATTCAGAAAAAATCATATGTGACTCTCTCCAGAGTGTGGGTTCACTCTTTCTTAACTAATCCCTTTGTTGTCTTCTGAAGTTCTCAGGTTTGAGTCACCTCAAGCATCGTGTCAAGAGTCTCTGTGCCTGGACTGGCTTGTTTAGACTAGTGTGTCCACTCACCCCCAATCCTTACGTTACCAGAATTGCTGCCAGCATTCCAGGAGTTTCTTGTGCATAGATATTATGTTTCCATGGCTTTGAAGCAGACAAGGGAGTCCAGTGTTTCTGTATTATTTGTGATGACTCTAACATGGGGCCTTCTGTCCTCAGTATCTTACACAGCTTCACAGGACAGAAATAAATGTTACTTCCAAAAATAACCACTTCCAATTAATTGATGGTCTAGCTGGAGCCTGGGTGAATTCTGCAAATGCAGCCCACTTGAGACAGGAGCCAGGGTGAAGAGATGTTACCTGGAGTCATTGTTAGGCCCTAGCATCTTTTTCAAGGCCTCACACAGACTTGCAGATATTCTCAAGGCATTTTTGCTTTAAGGCTGGAGAAAAAAAAGAAGAAGGAACTCAAGGCACTGAGACAGAAACACTACAGAGACATAAATTAAACTCTAACAGCACCAGCGTTGGTCCTGCCTCCTGCAGAGGGCAGGTGTGGGATGGTGCACCGGCTGGTGTCATTCAGAGTCAGTGTCAGAGAGAGGGGAGGACTCATGCAAGACCCCCTTGCCAGTTAGCAGCAAAGTCGAGTAAGGAGCAGCCCCTATTTCTCCACTCTCCGCCCAGTGTTATTTTTCCAATACCCAGCTGTATTCACACCCTCAGTTTGCATGAGGCTAATTTAAACTCATTAAAACGTTGTTCAGTAAATGCATAATAATATGCTGTGTGTGTAGAGATTTGCATGTGGCGAGGACAAAAGAAGAACTATTGAATTATGTGTTTGCAAGATTCCCTATTCCCTCTGCCCACAGCAGGTAAAGGGATTTTGGTGTTTGACTGCAGAACCCTCCACTCCTAATGCTCGTCGTCTATTTTTTAATGCAAGGTGTGGGTGATGGTAAAAAGAGAAGACAGGAAAAGTGGGATGATGGAATTGCGTAAGAAATAAGGAACCTGTGTTTGAGAGAGAAAAAAAGAATAGAGGCAGAAGGAAAGCAAAGGAAGCAGAGGAGGGACATGGAAACAAAAATTCTAGAAAAGTTATTGAGTGATACGTTGGAAAATGAAGCATAACGAGGGGCTTCAGGATGGTGACGCGTGAGAAGTGAGAGAGGGTGGAGGGAAAAAGAACAAAAAGTTTCTAAGGCATGTTGGCATGAATTCCGCGGATCCCATCTGATGTTCTACAAGGGCCATAAGAAAAGACTGGGTGGCTAAACTGTTGTTTGTTTGTTTGTTTAGATGCAAAGCATTGCCAAGACTAGGCTATATGAGCACCCAGCTTATATTTGGGTTACATTAAGAAAGGATTTTCTAGAGAGTTTGATATAGTTCCGTGATTTTTAGAAGACCCGAGTCTCTTGACCAGATAGTCCATATACATGGCATGATATTAATAAAATGGCCAAACCATTGCTTTTGGGACCAGACCAGCCACTTCTGTTTGCAGACATGGGAGAAAAATCAAAGCTGACGCCAGGCACATCTGGGGCTAAATGTGGCTTTGAAGCTCTCAGGACGAGGAGAGAGGCACCATGCACCCACTTCTAGTGCTGCATGCTGCCTTCTTTTCCTTGAATTATATGTATACATTTTTCCTTGGTTAGGAGTTTCAGTGTTTAGGTGAGGTTTGTCTTTTGTTTTATTTTTGTTTGTCTTTCTAACTTACGTGGGGGCTCAGAGGCTAAGAGACTCACCTGAGTTCGTACAGAGAACAACAATGATTGATCACATTTACTCCTGCAGTTTTTTCCCTGCACCTTATTGCAAATATCAAGCTGCTAGTTGAAGGGGAATCAGAAGTATCCTAGGCTGTCTTTGTCTGGCATTAATGATGACTAGACGAGCTACGACACTCCTATGGCCCCCTGCTACGGCAGGAAAATCAGTCCGAGTGGCAGAACGTTTTCGCATAATGCATTCACTGTGAAGTTACAACATAGTCGAGCGGTGTACGTACTGTGAGAGTGCGACACCCTCTTCACCCTCTGACAGACGTACGTTGCATTCTTCAGAAACCAGGAGTAGTATTCTGGACAGTACCTAAAGATTTAGATCAGAGTTGGGAGCAGTCACTATCCTGTGATTAGACGGCATCCAGAATAAAAATCAGTAAATATATAAACACGAATGTATGGCCAATTGTTCAAAGCAAGGAGCCCCCTGTCCATCTTTATAGGGCATCAGAGGAGAGGCAGGAAAGGAGGCTGGGTAGGAAAAAGCACAGATTTTGGGATCCGCAAGACTTATTGTTGGTCCTAGCCCACCCACTACTTACCAGGATGCATGACTTCAGGCTGATAACTTAATTCTCTGGACTTTAGTTCTTTCATATATAAATGAAAGGCAATAATAGAACCTATATTCACAGGTTATAAGAGAATTAAATGAGATAAAATATGTAAAGTTCCTGCACAGTGCCCAGCATATAATAGGTGCTCAGTAAATGATGGTGATCATTTGTTTTTGTGGGATGTGGAGAAAGAGTAGAGTGTTGCTATTGCTAACAATGCAGCAAACACTTTGCAAGAGAATATCCTGCTCTTGATGAGGGGCGACAGGAGTTGCCTCAAAGGGCTGTAGTGAAAAGATCACTGACCATGTTGTCAGGAGGAAGAATTTTCAGCGCAGGCTGTGACACTGGCTCACTGCATAACACTGGGCATTTACTTCCCGTTCAATCCCTCATCTGCTCTATGAGGAGGTAAAGGCTAAATATTCTCTAATTTCCCTTCCACCTCTGTCATTCTGTGATTCTAGCATACTCTAGGGAGCTGCACAACTAATCACTCAAGGACAGCTCATTATAAAGATTTCCCACATACTATCACCCCCAATTTACAGGAAAGTGTAAAATTGAGGAAACTGAGGCACAGAGATTAACTGACTTGCCCAAAGACACACGGCTTTCAAGTGGCAGTGCTGGATTTTAACCTGGGTAACGCACTCCATGCCAGAACACACAGCCATTCTAATAGGCAATAAGCCCAATATTTGAGTCTGAGATTACAGAGCCGGAGCCACTGTAAGGATTTCTTATGGAAGCTGAAACCACAGAGGGGACAGAGCCATTTCTGGAAACATTGCTCAAAGCAGAGAGAGAAGGGGAGAAGTTCCCTGGCTTCTCTCCTCCACTGCCCTGCAATCTCCCACCAATCTCTTCTGCTGGACAAACTAACATGAGGCTGGTAGGCAAGGTATTCTGGGGAATATATTATAGTTTGCATAAGTCAGCCCCCTTCATTACAGAGCAAGAAATGGATCTGAGAGTGAAGAGGCAAATGACGAACACAGCCAGGGGTACTTTTCCTCTGGGTCCATGATCCCATGTGCTTAAGGAGACCTTTCAAAAGCATAAGAGATAGGACGTCAAGCTTGGTCAGCTCAACAGCTGACATGGCCACCAGGCATTTGGTTGCCACGGCCACAACATGCCAAGTGTGCTAGAGATGGGACACCAACTTGGCTGTGGGAGCGGATAAGAGAGCAACTGCAGCAGTATCTTCCTCAGTGACCATAGAGTGCTGCTTTCCAGGCACTGTGCAAGAACAATTATGAACAGATGTATTGTTTCATCTCATTTCATTTTGTTCTCACAACACTATCCATATAGGCAAGAATGCTGCTACCCCTCTATATGAACATGCTCCTGGAATTGTGTGACATGTGGCCTGAAATGTGGGCAGGACTACACCCATTTTATAGATAAACAAACTGAGATTCAGAGAGATTAAATGATTAGCCCAAGACCACATAGCTTGTAAGTGGCAGAGCCTAAATTTAAACCGAAGTCTGCCTGGCTTCAAGCCCCACCCTCCATAGGGCACATAAGCTACTTATTGTGTAGGTTTGGGGGCCTTGGTTCTGTGGTCTAATCTCATTCCTCCTGAGCTACTTTGACAATGTGCAAGGCACGTTTTCTAACAACAACAAAACTTCTTAGAAAGCTTCCAACAAGAGAGGATCTCAAACTACCCTGGGGAATTATCTGCTTTTGAAAACGATGCTACTCCATGGACGAACATGGTCCCAACTAAGGTGCTCTGTGAATAATCAAAGCATGACGCCAAAACTTAAGTTGTAGCAACCACAGAAATAGAACCACAACTTCATGAGCCAAAAAGCTGCCATTCTGTGCTTTAATTCACTTTGGAAGAGTACATGGCTTGTAGGACGAGTGGGAATTCCTGCCTCTATGATCGGGAGAGGAACTATTTAAACATGTCATGTCCCATCCCTGAGCTCTCTGGCAGAGGCATCCTCCAGGCAAATGAACAACAGACAAGTGGCCCTGGTTATTGCTTTGTAGGGAATAGAGTCAGGATCCTGTTAATGACAAGAATATGTATTCCTCACATAGACTAGAGGAGGCATTTCTTGTGCAGAAAAGGCTGGATGGTCTTAGAAGAAAATCAGTTGTTAAGGTGGCCTATTGTGTTTGTCTTCAGGTTCTTCAGGGCAGCAGTCAGCTGCAATTCCCTGGCTAGAATCAGCTGGAGCCAGTGTTGAAGCACTCACTGTGACACCAGCCCTGGGAGCCGCCCAGAGCTACCGCACCCACTGTGGAGTTCGCAGCAGCCTGGACAGAGCAGGAGCTGACCGTGGCCTGGGGCAGAAAGTTTGTAAGTCACTAGGAGGGGAAGTGACCAGGGCTCTGTCACCCTGCAAGGAGGGAGGCTATGTCCTAAGGATGGTGCTAGGGACCTCAAATAGGAAAGCTTTCAACAAAGAGTTAGTGAGTAAAAGACTAACAGTGAGCTCAGTCTAGACAACATAGAAAGTACCGCTGTGAAAGTTTTCTCTTTTTTGGGATCGGCCTGTGCTGTGGGTCTCTGGGTCTTGCATATTGCCCATTCTGGATGGAGGAAATGCCCACACTGAGTGAGGAATCCAAGATCAGGGACAGAGAGGGCGGATGAGAAAAGACCACACACCTGGGCTTGGGGATCAGAGGCAGTGGATAATGGAGATTTCAAAGGCCGGTGCATCTTGTGGGTAGACTTTGAAAATAACATTAAAGATCTGAGAGATTGGCCCCCAGACCACTGGAGCAGGAGTACTTAGCTACGTGATTTGGTTCTGGGTTTATGGCCAAGAAAAAATCCCAGAAGAAAGAGTAGTATGTCAACATTGCAGGGTAGAAAAATGTCTATGCCTAGATCTTCTTAATATAAAGTGGGATCTGCTTTCTAATTTTATTTTTACAAACTTTCCATTTGACTGGCAGATGACTGCTAGAAATTTATAAAAGACGTATCTTTCAGTTAGATAAACAAATTCTCTGATTGTTCTCTCCCGGCAAACCTCACCAGGCTGAGGGCAGTGGGGTGCGAGGACCACTCAAAGTCTGTTACTCAAAGTCATCCCACTTGACGTGATGAAAATCAACTCAACTCCTCAACACAATTCAACCCGCCTCAGTTCGACTCCACTTCACATCAGCTCAACTTAATTGTGCTTATTGTGTCTGGCCCTGAACTTGGTTCTGGGGACCCAGATATGAATGAGGTTCCATCATGGATCTAAGGATGTGACTGTCTAGTAGAGGAACCACTGGAGACTCCTTTTCTTGAGGTACCCCCTGCCCCCTGTCTGTGGATTATTTAACGTCTGACTCCCTGTGGCCTGCAGAGATGCCACATAGAATAAAAAGTCTATAAATATTAGTTGTGAGAAGCAGCCACTGGGCCAGGTTACCTCATGGCCTCCATCCTGGGATTCCTCTGGCTCATGCAGAGGCATTGCTGGAAGAAGCGGCACAGCTCCATCAGGCAAGGGTTGAGCTTCTGGATGGTCAGGCTGACAGGAGCAGCTGCCATGGGCTCCTCTTTGAGCAGGGGCTGAGGACATCCTACAAGATGCAAGCCCAGACCAGTCAAATCAGTGACAGCCGAGCAAGCATTTTCCTTTTGTTAAGCTCTGTGCTAGATGAATGCAGTCCCGCCGAATCTCAGGTAGCTCTGGGACAGACAGGCAGACAAAGAGCTGCTTCACTGTTGCCTGATAAAGCTACTGTGAGCGTTGCAAGAGCTAGGTGGAGAGAAGGTGGGGACTGAGTTCCTGGAGGACATCAGAGGTAGTTTCATTGAGGATCAATTATTGAATAAAGATCTAAAACGTTGACAGGAAATGCATCACGTGGAGGGCATTTCTGGCGTGAGGAACAGCGTATATGTTCCCATGGAAGGGGATGGCTTGCTGACGGGAAATGGAGAATAACTGGGGTACAGACGGTATGTGTGTGTGTGTGTGTGTGTGTGTGTGTGTGTGTGTGTGTGTACATGGTATATGTGTGTGCATGTGTGTATATATGTACGTGTCTGTGTGTGTGAGAGCGTGCGGGTGTATGTTGGCATATGTGTGAGCATGTGTGTGCGTGTGCATATGCATGTGTGTGCATGCCTGCATGGAGGAGAGAAGGGAGGGGAAGGCTGAAAGAGGAGACCAGCCTGCTGGGTCACTGGAGAAGCAGGCTCTGAGTTTGTGAGTTCTCTGTCTCCACAAGCTGAAGATTAATCATGCTTTAGTGAACCAGATTTTCACTGTTGCTCAAAAGGAGCAAATGATAAAAGAAGGAGGCAATAGATTTTTAAAAAATTCCTTCTCCTGGCGATCTCCTGAGGCTGGGACAGTTCCTATGGCTACACCTACACTCCCTCGTATGGAAATCAATGAGACCCACCCTTGTCATATAGGGTGACTGGGAAGATTAAATGAGACAATTTATACAAAGTATATTGCAAAGTCTCTGACATGAAATGAACAATAAATAATAGCTATTATTATTATTGATTTATTTATTAAACATTTCCTGGGCACCCACCATGTGCCCTACACTGCTAACAGACACTAGAACTACAACGAATAGGAAGGAAAAGGCCTTTCTCTCACAGAGCTTACCTTTCAGGGACTGGAAGATCATATTAGGATATTACTGATAATTTTGCAACCAAAAATCACTAATTGCTATCAAGAAAAATGATCTAAAACCTGGAAATAGGAAAAAAGGATTACTGAGCACCGTTTGAGTGGGGTTCTGGTTGTTGTCTAGCAGACTCTCTGAGGACTGTCTGGGTACACGGGAGTGTGCACCATTCATCGACCTTCTATTGAATGGGCGATTACACAGCTCTGAAGGAGTAGAGGTTAACTGACAGCAATAGAAGTGATTCTTGTCTGAAAGCAATGCAGACCATTTCTGTCCATAGCAATGTAAATGAATTTTACTGGGTAGAGGTACAATTGATTTTGTCTAGTAAAAAAATAGTTTATTGCTGTAGGATATCAATTAGCAAATGCATTTGAGAATTCCTTTGACTGACTATGTATTAATAAATCCCTGTTCCCCAAATTCTTCATGGAACCAGCCTTAACATCTTCCTGGTTTCCTCATTAATTAATGAGCTGAATAACATCATTGACATGTCGACATGTGTTCATTTGATATTTTTATGAATCATGTTTTTACAGTTTTGAAAACTACAATTTAGTAATAATGTATTTATTGAAGTGGAGATGAGGCTCCTAATGTTAGACTTAAGGAAAAAAAGTAGAATGGGAATATTTTATTCTGTGTCAATTAGAACATTAAACTCTCTAGAACATTAATCAATTTCCGTCAGTATGTCATAACTTTTCTCTCATATTTATTGATCACCTGCTATGTATCAGGCACTTTCCTAAGTTCTTTCAATACATTATTTCACTTAATCCTTATAAAATCTTGTGAAGTAGAAATCAGAAGTATATAGAAGAGGATACTGAGGGTCTGAGTGACTCTGGAGTTGGATCAGTCACACAACAGAGAGTGACCCTGTCAAGATCTGACTCTGGAGCCCATGCTCCTGTCCACCACCCTTTACTGCTTGGACGTAGTTAACATTTCTGGGGCTGCTTCTCATGCCATTTTCCCCCACTACACCTCATCCACACTTCTCTAACTCAGGAAATGATGCTCAGGAAATCCACTCACTGGCTCAAACTTGAGCATGATTTTTCTTCCCACCTGTGCTCACTCCACCATCATCACATCCTCTCAATTCCCTCCCCTAACTATCGCCCATGGTCTCCCTATCACACAATCACCTCCCAGCACCACTGGCCATCGTTAGCATAACCGTCTCCTCTCCAGCTTCCCTGTCCCAGCTTCCCCCTTTAGTCTCTCTTCGGCAGTCAGAGAAATCTTTTGGCAACACAAATCTGATCATGTCACTGTTACCTGCCTCAGAAGAGGGCCACATTCCTTGCCATGGTGACAAGGCCTAGTGATCTCACTCTTGCCAGCCTCTCCAGCCTCATTCCACACTACTTGCGCCTTCAGTACCACAAGTCTAGCCACAAAGGCCTTTCTCAGTCCCTGGGAATCATCAGTCCTTTTGTGCCGCAGTGCCTTTGCTTATGCTATGCCTCTGCTTAGAATACATGTGTAGGGGTAACCTTGTCCAGATGTCACTTTCTCAATCAATAAACTCTTGCATAATACCCTCAGCTGAAAGTAATCTCTTCCTCTCTGGACACATACAACATTTACTGCTTCTTCTCTTATCTTCTCTTAAGAACCTTACCACTTTCTTTCTTAAATCACAGCTTTTTTTGCACACGAGGTGCATCTTGGGAGAAGTAACACAGAGGGATGAGATGAACGCAAGCTTCGGAATTAGACAGATCTGGCTCAAAACTCAGTCTCCTTTTGTGTGTAGAATTCACCAAAATTACTTCCTGAAGATAACATTACCTACTTTGCAGAATTATTGTAAAGAGAAAGTAAAAATAGTTCTAATACAGTGCCTGGAACACAGTAGCCGCTCAATAAATATTCATTGAATAGATGAATGAATGAATGTCAAAAACTTTGTAGCATAATTTATTGTGTGGATGAGCGGAATAATTTACTAGAAGATGCCAGAACCCTTTTATTTTACAATTATATTTCTCATTACATAGACAGACAGATGACAGATGGATAGATGTCTATCATATGCATAGCTAGATAGATAGATAATAAATAATAGACAGTGATAACTAGATACATACATAGATAGGTGATGAAGGACGGATATGATAAATATTTATTAGATATAGATAGATAAGATAGGTGATAGATAAAGAGATGATGGGTGGGTTGATGGACAGATGAATGGATAGATATAGTAAATATCTGTTAGATAGATAAGTAGAGATATCTATATAGATAGACATAGACATGTGGATATAGACACAGACCTAGCTGTAGATATAGACACAGTCATAGATATAGGTACAGTTAACTTGTTTTCTGAAACTTCATCTAACAAGAGCCCCCATCTGCACCAGCAGTGTGTGTTTTTTCAAACTCCTGGGGAACAAAGGGATATAATTTCCTTTGGTAGCATAATCACGTCTTTGTGTCTGAAAGGCCCATTCACCATTCACTGGAGGCCGAGAGCAGATCCGAGCTGATATGAAAAGGAGGTTGGGCAGGCTCCAGCAGCTTAATGATGCCCCGTTGACATACGACTGAGCAGTCCAGAAACATTCAGGAAATGAGTACAGAAAGGCATCCAGGAGCGGGAGGGGCCTGAGGACCCAACCAGCTTTGAAGGACTCACCTGGCATCAATTTCTTTCTTATGAAAACGGACTCAACAGAAAGAGGAGAGTGAGACATCCAAAAGCTGGGAAAATGCAGCAAAAACCACAGAAAGTCAAATCCTGAGCCTCTGCCAGGGGTTCTGAAAATCCAGCTAGAGGCTCAGAAAACAACCGTTCTTCAGATCCACAAGAATTAAGTACCCTTTTAACACAGTCCTTTAACACAGAACAACAGTAAATCACACCCTGCAAGCGGGGCTGGATTTTGGAGTCGTCTTTTATTCCTCCCTCCCTCTCTGCCAGCCCTCATGCTCATTAGAAGAGCAGCTTCCATTTGCAGAGTGGCCAACATGCCGCTCAATAGATGCTCACTCGATAAAAGATGATTGAATTAAATTATACTGAGCTTTGTAGTTCCAAATCACTTCCCCACACATTATCTTACTTAATACAAAACCCCGTGGGAAAGAAAAAAACAGACATTTTCAGTGTCCACAATAATTGCAATTATTCTTGCTTTACAGTTGAGGAAACTGAATCTTGGAAGTTGAGTGCTAGAGGCCACGTCACCAGTAAATGGTTGAGCTAAGAGTCAAATCCCAGCATTCTGACTCTAAATTTATCAAACAAACCTCTCTTTATTCTACTATACAACCTTGCTCAAAATAAACACAAGTAATAATAGTGACTGGGCGCTGATACTCACTTGACACCTGGTGGGGTCTTGGGAACAGGGCTGGTTCTTCCCCAGGGGTGAACGGCCACTCTGCAGGAAGATCACCTGCAAAGTGCAAGAATGGCCTTCCAAAAGTCAAAATGAAATGGCTTTGGGTGATGCACACAGCCAGAACATCGTAACACCTTAAGGATAGAGCAGTCTCGGACTCTGCAGGGAAACGGTAGCCAAGAAAGAGGGGAGTGATTTATCCAGGACCACACAGCAATCTGGCAGCAGGGCGAGGCTTATACACCAGCTCCCCTGCCTCTGTTCCTGCTGGAACCGACACAGCACAAGAACCAGCTTGGTCTGCATCCTGGCACCCCATCCCACCGCACCCCTGCCCCCAGCTATGTTTTCCCAGGGTATCGAGTTTCTCTTTCCAGCGGTGTGTCCTCACCTGCCTGTAGATCTTTGGGGGCTGGTGCCTTGGTTGGACTCGGAGTCTGTGTGCCAGGGGTGAATGTTCCTGGGATGAGATGAGAGAGGGATGAGTCTGCAACTTTTCTAGGGGGCCCGATGGGGATAAGAAGCCCCCTGCCTCCAGTCCTGCCCTATCCAGCCAATGTGGGCTAAGCCGGGTACCGGGAAGGGTGCTGCGGATGCAGAGATGAGTCAGAAATAGAACCCGCAATGGAGGCACTCCCAGCACAGAAGCGGAAACAGGCACATCCCACCAGTGACTGTCAATAGCACGATGGGCTGGAAGCCAGCTAATATTGGTAGGATGGTGACACTGAAGGGGAGAGCGACGGTGCTGAGCAGGAAGTGTCCAATGTGGGTGCTCCTGGGCAAAGAGAAAACGACATGCCCTTCAGTCATCTGAGTCTCAGTGTACACACGGGACCCCATCCCCAACCCCAATACACTGCCCGTTGTTTTCATAAGAGATTGTGGGCTCAGTTCAACAATGCTTTTTAGCATGTTCCTAAAGCCTTGATTTAAGGACCACTTCAAAACTCAATCCTTGCTGTCAAGATTTTGGCCTCTGACAAAACCAGCAAAGCTTCCCCCTTCTAGGGGATGAGAGATGGAGAAAAATCAAACAGGCAATTTTACTCATGTGGCTACGTGAAAAGAAAGGAGTGAGGCTGAGATACAACCGGAGCACAGGCGGTGGGCACCCAACTCAGCCAGAGCAGGTGACATCCACTCTGGGACCAGTAGCAGGGTGGTTAGTGAGGAGAATGGGCCTTCCAGGCAGAGCAAAGTGCAAATGCAAAGACCCCCGACATGTGAGCAGTGAGTAGTTCTGTGTGGCTCGAGTCTAGAGCATGAAGGTGGAGGGGTGAGGCGAGACCACGCAGCACCGGGGCACAGAGCCTGGACTCCATCCCACCCAGTGGAAATACTGCTGGTTACTTGTTACACTTCTCTGCTAGGACTGCGGATGTTGCAGCATTGAATTCAATGTGGCTTGCACTCCCCTGGCCCGCCGTGTCAGCACCAGAGATGAGCAGTGTGACACATTCACACACAAACAACGACAGGCAGGAGGCCAGCTCCACGGGGCAATCTTGCTATTTTCTTAGGGTGAACCAGCTTCTTCTTTTGATTTCCCTTTAGGCATTGGACTGTCAGCCTCCAGCACAGGAGGAGTCAGTTGATGCTTGCTGCCTGGATGTGCTTCTGTGTAGTGCTGGAAGGTGAGCAGCCTTAGCCACACCCAGATACAGAGTTTGCTTGTCTACCCAATCACAGAGGATTAGTGTTGAAAGGGCCCTAGGACAAAAGCAGACACATGCTCTCCTATGGAGGCTGTCCTGTTTGCCACTACCCTTTCCAAAATGTGTCTCCTGAAGCTGGCAGCACTGCCTCCACTGTGAGTAGGGTGGGGTCCCCACTGTGGGTAGGGTGGGGCAGGTTACTAAGAGTTGCCGTTGGCTGAGTGCTTTCCAGGTGCTATGCATTGAGATAGACATTGTCCAAATTAATCATCATAGCAACTCTGAAATCTCCCATTTTATAGGTTCTCACCATTTCTAAGTCTTACCAAGATTTAGAGGCTCAAGGAAACTGCCCAAGGACACAGAGTAAGGAGTAGGGTCAAGATTTCAGCCCAGTATGTCTGAGATAGAGACCAGGGCTCATAGACCCAGGGCTGGGCTGGCTGTGTCGTCCAGCTGCCCACACCACAATGCAATAGCTTTAATTTTCCCCTAACACAATGCATAAACCAACTGAACTCATGCAATTGTGTTACGTGTTTATGTAATTAAAGCTATCAAATGGCATCTTCAGGACTGTTTGTGCAATTGAGAGTTTGAGCCTGAAGTTAAGACTTCACATTTCTGTCTGTAAAAATTCATCTACTCCTCTCCCTGTATTCCTTAAGAAACCCAGTAATTTGACAACTTTTACTGAATGCCTGCTGTGTTTCACAAGAACCTGAGATTAAAGATATAAGTCTTGAAGAGAACACAGCCCAAAGGGAGGGAGGTCAAGTTTGCATGCCTCACTGGGCAGGGAAGAAGGGGTTCTGGCCAGACTGCAAATATCAGAGGAAGTGATTTGAAACAGAAATAAAACTTTTTGACTGATTATAGGAGTAGAAAATATGGAAAATTAATGAAACTGGAAAGAAGAAAATAAAAATCAGTATGACTCTACTTCCCAGATATAGTCTTATATATAAAGTTACTATGTTGTGAATGTCTTTCCAGTCTTATTTTGCTTTGTTTTCTATGCTCTGTATATTTATTGTACATGCATAGGCACACACATACCCATAAACACATACACGCACACAAAACTGGGATCGTGCTCGACAATTTTCTTCTGCTTTTTAGAGCTCAGGCTTCCTCACTGCATGATTACATGTTAATGTGTATGCAATATTTGTATATGTAACTCAGGCCTACGTTGTGTTGCATTGCATATATATAATATATATGCCATTAATGCAATCCTATTAATATCAGGCCAAAAAGGTAGTTGAACTGTCTTGAGTAAACAATGCCAACTTCTAGGGGTCACTTGTTCAATGAATGGAAAAACAAGAGAAAGGATAAGAAACTGAGCAGTGGGTTTACATAGAAGAGAGAGGAGGAGGAAGAGTCCGGGGATGAGGGAGCTTTCATTCACTCAAAGATGGGAAGAGTTGGGGTGTGGTAAAGGGAAGGGAGAGGGAGAGAGTTTGCTTTATGATCATTAACTATGTTGCTTATGTCTTATTACTTTTCTGTATGTGGGTTATAGTTAAAAAATTTAGAAAATTTTCAAGGCAGACAATGCTAAATTTAATTTAAAAGGGGAGGGGAAGAAGGGAGCATCCTCTCTTACCTGAGGTCAGGCTGGTCTGGAGAGGGCTGCCAGGTGTGGCTGTCATCCCAGCAGGAAGCCCCAGAAGGTTAGCTGTGCTCATGGCCCCTGCAGGAGATGTCGGTGTGGAGGGACCTGTCTCCCAGGGAGGCCCTTCAGGTTTTTTCTCACCGACGGTCTGAGCCCAGGGCACAGATAGTGTGGAACCCCATGTCTGTCTGTCAGCTGTTACCCACGAAGTTCTGGCCACCCTCCAGGTAGCTGCATGTTCAAAGTGACAGTAACAGGTCACTGATATGCTTGACCACTTTGATTCAGATATAGAATTGCAGAGACATTCAAATATTATCAAAGGGCAAATGCAATACATGTGTGTAATATAGATAACTCAGGGGCTTAAACTTTACCCTGAACTGAAATAAATGGACCAAGCTAAACATTGTTTTCCTAAGCACCAATTAAAAAAAAAAAAATGAAAAACCTGGCTGGGTATGGTGGCTCATGCCTGTAATCTCAGTACTTTGGGAGGCCAAGGTGGGAGGATAACTTGAGGCCAGGAGTTTGAGTTTGAGATCAGCCTGGGTGACAAAGAGAGACCCTGTCTCTACAAAAAATAGAAAAATTAGCCAGCCATGGTGGCATGCACCTGTAGTCCTAGCTACTCAGGAAGCTGAGGCGGGAGGATCCCTTGAGCTCAGGAGTTTGAGGTTGCTGTGAGCTATGATGACATCACTGCACTCTAGCCTGGGCAACAGTGTGAGACCCAGTCTCAAAACCAAAACAAAACAAAACAAAAAACTTCCCAATCTCTTGAACCCCCCAGTCAGTTAGAGTATGTGTTTAGGAGGTCAGTGGGCTGTTTCTTGAAGTTAAGAACTATATTTTCAGTCATGTGACATAATGGAAAGATTATGGGGTTGGAGGTGAGGAGACCTAAAAGTGTTAGTTCTGCTCCTGCCTCTTCTACGCTGTGAACTTTGGGGCAAATTATTTAACATTTTTTAGCTTTATCATTAAAATGGAGATACTAACTACTAATATTTGCCCTACACAGGATTGTTGTTAGTTAAGACAAATCTTCCTTCATGGGTCTTTTAAAAAAGTATTAGATGTGTATGTAATATACATTCCCAGGGTAGAAATTAAAATCACTTTTTTAAGTTTTATAAAAACGAATCCTATTGGAGGATTTTAAATCTATAAGTTAAGTTGGGGACAGTTGCCAACTTTAAAATATTCAGATTTCTCATACAGAACATGGTATATCCCTTCATTTATTTAAATATTCCTTTATTTCTCTCATTAAAGTTTTGTAGTTTCACTTCTCCTTTTAGGGTTATAGCTAGATATTGTATGATTTTTCTTGCCACTAATAATCACATTTTTTGTCATATTATCCTGGAAAGTTTTCTGCTTTTGTTTAACTGCAGTGATGCAGCTGTTGTACTAATCTTTTATAGTAAATGTAAGAATTTTCAAGTTAATGGAATTGATTCCTTTTCTTTTCCACCACACAGTCATCCTTCTTTCCTTGCCTGCCTGACTGCATCAATCCTTGCCTTTTTGGGGGAGCCTGTGTCTTCTGTCCCAGGTCTGTGAGCTCAGGAAGGAAAGGGACCATTTACAGAGCTGCGTTTTTAACGGCTGGCCTAGTGTCTGGTAGCAAACGCGTGTTCTGATGAGTGAGTGGATGAATGAATTCTGATGACTGGTGCATTGGTGGGACTCATTGAGATAATATTGCCTCTTAATGAAAGAGATACCTCAGTTTCATATTATTTCCAAATAGGAAAAGGGGGGTAAGTGTGCTTTTTGTGTCCACATGGTAACACTGCTGATCGCGTGCACAAGATGCTGGTGGTGGGGAAGGAACCCCCGGGCAGGCCATTGGCACAGCTTTTCCCGCCGATGTCAAGTCACTAACACATTGCTGGCATCATTACCCGGCTTGCTACAGGTTGACCTGACCACCCCATAAAATGCTGACTTCACATCACCATTTCATGTGAAATGCTTTGCTGAAATAAAAATAGCTTATGCCATAATGTACTAAGATTATGTAGGATGTCAGCATTGGGGGAGGCTGGGTGAAGGGTACCAGGGAACTCTGTGCTATTTTTGCAACTCCTTGTGAGTCTTAAACTATTACAAGATAAAAAGTCATAAAAATACATGTCAGAAGTCCATTATACCAACGACATTTGCTGCCTTAGCTTGGCTTTATTGAACCCCATACTGGCCCCTATAGCTCTTGCATTTGAGACAGCTGTGTAGCTGCAGGTGGCGAGAAGGGATAAAGGGAAGGATTTTACTTATTTACCTGTGAGCCTAGAGGGAACCCAAGAGACACAGCAAAGGGGAGAGGGGGCAGGGTGAAAATGTGTCTTACCCGAGGCCGAGGCCAGGAGGGTGCGAGAGGAGATGCCCCGTGTGGCTGTGGCCCTGGCAGGAAGCTCGGGGAGGCTGCCTGTGCTCAGGGTCCCCTGTCCCTCTGAAGGCGCAGCTGTCTCCATCCAGGGAGAGGTTCTCCGAGCAGACGTCCGGCGTGTGCTCTGGGCCCAGCGCGTGGAGCTTGTACTTGGTGGCATTTGCTGGCTTCTGGTTGTGGGCCTTGAAGTCCCAGTAGTCCCCCTGGTGGCTGCACCTTCCAGGAGACAGTCAATGGTAGGTTAACATGCTTGACACTTTTGCCACAAAAAAACTGTGGAGCCACAGACGGGTCATTGGGTAGCAAATACAGAGAATGCAGAGATCCAAACCTTGCTCCAAACAGTACCAAATGTCACCAAAAAGGTGTTTCTCCTTGAATGACAAATTAAGCTAAAATATCTCCAAAAGAGTTATGCCACGAATCACGGTGAACACAATGCAAAGCTGTCGGGACTAAAAGTGTCAGGCATTGGCCGTTTCCTGAACAGATCCTGAATCCAGTCAGAGTCCTTATTCTACCTCCAGCCCTCGGCCACTCCCTGGCTCTGGTACTTGTCCTTGCAAAGAGGGACCAGGATCACCCCATGTTCCTTGTGGCTATGACTTAGAACCAGGAATGGAATTTGGGGGAACCAGGGGCTTCCAGGCAGAAACTGCTTGAAAACCGGGCCCCCATAGGGATAGCAAGAAGGCTTAATTCAGAGAGAAATCTACCCAGCTCTTTTGGCTGCTTCATGAAGAAAAGAAGGAAGAGGCTCCAGTGTTAATTTTACCTCATACTTTCCCTCGGGCGGGCTTAAGTGGTGGCAGAGGGTGGATATGAGGATGAGAAGCTCCCACCAGCCCACAGGGGCTCTTCCTCTGGAAGGAGACAAACTGGCCTGTAGCCTGGTGGCCAGAGCCTGTGCTGCACTTCGGCCTCCACTAGCCCCATTGGCAGGTCATGGTGTGTAGGGCACCTGCAGCCTTGTGTCTTCTCCCCTGCCTTACTTCTGAGTCCACTAACACCCCACATGCATCACCAGCCTGAGCCTTGCTCCCAGATCAATCAGACATGGGGCTAAGTGCATCCCAGGCAAACTATCTCTCCACCAGGGGACCAGCTATGAGGCACTTCAACCTCAGCATCAACTTGTAAATATGTCCTCTCTTCCTAAGCATTTGTCCTTGTCGAAGGAGCACAAAGGGGGAGATCTAATTGAGACCAGGGTGGGAAGGTTGTGAAAAGACTCTCTAAGTAGGTGAGATTGATTCAACCCTCAGCTCTGTCCTCAGAATTGGGCTGGTGAAGGCAACCCACCCAATGCCCGTTTCATCTTCTTATCAAGCAGCCTTGGACACACAAACTGAGGTTCCTTCCACAGCACAACCAAGAGACATCCTACCACAAATATAATCGAAGTAGCCCATTGAAATGGATTGTGCATTACTCGTGTCCTCATTTCACTGCAAGAGACACTGATGAAGAGCCTACTGTGTGCAAGGTGCTGTGGAGGGGCTGAAAGAGACTCCAGCTCTGCCTCCCAGCACCATGGACAGAAGGGACACACAGAAATGTCACCTGTGATACAACCTGTATCTAGGGTTGCCAGATCTTTTGTAAGAGAATCCGGAAATACTTTTTCTTTTTTTAAATAGTAAAATTCTCCGATTTTCATCATAGCATAGCTAAACAAAATACCTGAGGGCAGCATTCAGTCTTTAGTGTGCCAGACGGGACCCTGGTCTGGAGACTATGATGGGAGTCTGGGAGGTTTGCACTCACCCGGAACAGCAGACATGCTGCTGGTGAATGTGTAGTTGATGACGGGGGATTTCTCTGCCATCTCCCAGAAGTCAGAAAGATTCCTTCCTGCAAAAGTCACAACAACAAGATCGAATCTCGGGTTTCACATGCTGGAGAACTGTGTTCAGTTCTCAGACCAGGGAGCTTGTCAAAGAACGGCTGGTGGTTCACCTGACTTTCCTGTCATCACACAGATGAAGATGCAGTCGGATTCATTGCTTTGACTCACTGTAAGACAAACCAGTACACAATAAGGCTCAGCAATGGGTCTGAGGCTGTACGTCTTTGATTGAAACAAAAATTATGCTGGAAGTACCTAGCTTAGGATGATATAGGAAAATAAGACCAATTTCTTACTCTTAAGGTGGCGTTGATTTTCTGATTTCTTTCTTTCATTTGGCTGAGGTAGGGGGTGGTGTAGTGACTAAGGGCACACCCTCTGGGCTCACCTTCCAAGGTTGCAACATCAGCTCTGCCACTTAGTAGCTATGCAAACATGGGTCAACTGCTTGACTGCTCCAGGACTCAGTTTACCCTTCTTTAAAATGGCAAAAATTCAAATCCCACAATCTCTTATTTGCAATTCCCAAATCCCCAAATCTCTGTAAAACAGAATGTTCTGTGTGAGTCTGGTATCAAAACTCATTTGGTGGCCAAACCCGACTTGAAAGATGGGAGGCTTCTGTAGTCTTAACCTGCCTCCTTAGCGTCAAGGGCCAAACATTTTGCTGAATGCCCACTGCCACGCTTCATTGCAGTGGACTTCCCCAGATGCTGTCAGAGGTGTTACACCATGTATGGTATGGACACCCTATTAGACCTTCAAAAGTCTGAAAAAGTCGGAATTTCTCAACTACTTGTCCCCGAGGGTGCTGCCTGAGGACTGTGGATGGAGTTGCATGTCCCTCATGAGGTACATCAAGATAATGTACACGAAGTGCTAAGGATGGTGCCCAGCAGATAGTAGAGCATGGTAAATAGCCAGAATAATAATCACTGGCATTATTACTGTGTTACTGTTATTGTATGCATCAGCATAGGGGCAAAGGGCATGGGCTACGAGCCAGATCACCTGGGTTAGAATTCTGTCTCTGCTGAGCGATATTGGGCAAGTTAGTTAATCTCATAGTGACATAGTTTCCTCACCTGCAATAGGGATAAATATAGTAGCTACCCCATAAGGTTGTAATGAAGATCCAATGGGGCAATGCCTGGAAAGCCCTTAGAAGAGTCCCTGGCACCCAAAGATAGCAGTTATTATATCTTTCTCCCTTCCTCCTGCTTTTAAAACAGTAGCTGCTCCACAGCGCACCACACCGCCTTCTGCTGAGACCAACTGTCCAGCTGTTGGTTGCGTCGGTACTTTTCAAAGTGGGTCCCCAGGGCACTGTGATTTGCCTGGGGATTATATGAAGCCACCTTATAAATGAGGCATATCTTTCTTAATTGTACTTCAGACATGGGCTTAGGCTCCATGTAGATCTAAATCTGAATTCTGACTCCAACCTTGAGCAAAATACTCAACCTCTCTGGATCTTAGTTTTGTCATCCTTAAAATGGGAGAATAGCTCTTTACCAGAAGCTGCTTTCTTGAGTCTGCCCAGATTCTTCTAACTTTGAGCCTTGGATTCTTCTTCCAATTCTCAGGATCCCAGGAATAGCTCTATTTGGAAGTGTTAGAAACTGGACCGCACTGACTACCTAAATAAAGCTGGCACGAAGGTTCCTGGCAGCCTGGCTCATGGCTGAGGCTGGGGTACGGAATCTACTAGGCTGTATTATCTTCCACAGTGGATGCCGAACCTCAAGTTTGCCAAGCATTTCCAAGACAAACACACCTGAGAGGATGGAGGTGGACTTAAAAATCTCTGTGAGGTAGCTGGTAGAATTTCCAATGATATCCACCAGTAGGGCTGTGAAATCTGCAAGACAGATTTAGGAGGTTTAAGTTTCTGATTCAGAGACTTAAGGGAAAAAGTGTGTTGTATTTGGTTTTTTCAGAGTAGACTTTACAAGTTTAATTTAGTTGAGTGTTTTAAGGGATATCAACTACCATATAGAGAAATACTACTAAATCTAAAAAAGAAAAAATCTTAATTTCAGGCAGACAAAAACTTTTGGATCCACTGTTATAATCCCCTTTCTGCTTCCATCATCCCCTCCCTCTAACTCTTCTCTGCTCACACCGAAGAGCCATGAAAGGCCACGTTGTTCAATAATGTTTTTTTTCTGTCCCCCTCAAGTTATCTCATCTAATTGTTTTAGAATATCAAATCCATATGATTGGAAGCAGCTCCATGGACGTGTAACATAAATTTACATCATTGTGGATTTTGAAAATGCAAAGTCAAATTTAGTGGTGGGTTATCAACTATACACCATCAAAAGAGACAAGGCCTTTTATAAAATTACCACCAGGTACCTCTCCTAACTGCCCACCTTGTTAAGAGGGCTGCTGGGGTCAGGGGAGGGTCTGAGAGAAGTTTACAACATTTCAGGTTGTAGAATCTTTGTGGACTTTCTCTCTGAGCAGGGCTCCATTGCTTGACATGGCAGGAGCCACTGACCAGTGAAATTCCTGACACTTCTGGTCAAAGAGCTTCCATCTCCTTCTCTGTTCATTTATGGCTTTCCAGGATCCAACAAGTTCTTGGCTTCTAAAACAAGGGACATGTTTTAGGAAACCCAAACAGTGATTTCCTAAAGAGGAAGCTTCTTGGGTCAGCTGGATGATTTCCCATCACGCCTTGTATAAATGCTTCTTTTGCTCCTGAATGAGATTATGTGTTTGGGCAGGAGGAAGCTGACTTTAAAATACAGAACCCAGAGAGGCAGGAAAATGTAATGTGACAACTGATGGCATGTGCAGCGTGCTACGACCTACAGAAGGCGGGCACTACTATGTGTGAGCCAGAGCCATGATGTGCTCTTACTACATCTGCACAGACACGTGTTGTAATCTCCCAGAGGGAGACGTGGTAGTACACCTATGCAGGTATAGACGCCAGCCTGTGCAGAAGGTAGGCAAACATGGGCATCTCCTTTCTCTGTCCCATTAGACGAGTCTGTTCTTGGTCACATTGTGGAACTTGAGGAAGGGTATTATCTCATTATTTATTCCATCCATTTTCTTTCTACATCTCAAAATTCTCCTTTATCAATTCGTTTATCTAATAAATATTCATTTAGTGTTTGCAGTGCACCAGACATCTACTAGATACTGGAGAGTTGTGTATGACACACAGAAGCTGAGGTTAGTGGGAGAGGGAAACTCATAAACAGACCAATAAAATGCAATTTGGAAATTACTGTTAATACTGCATAGAAGCTATGAGCATGACTTTGAAGCCAGACACCAAGGAGGGAGTCCAGGTTCTGCCCAAGGCTCAGAGAAATGAAACTTGCCCAAGGTCCCAGCATACATGACAGAGCTTGGATTTCAGCTGAGGTCTGCCTTGGGCCAAGGCATGCTATTTTACAAGTAGTTAACAATCCACGAATCAAATCTTTTCAAATGATTGTTTCAAGTGTGTGGAAATATGCTTTGGCTCATGAAATAAAATTATAAACGTTCTCCAGGCATATGTGACTTTTTAAATTTTATTTTTATCTTTCACTCAATCAGGATAGGGAGTCACAAAATCTCACCCTCAGCAGAAACTAATGAAATGGTGAGAAAGATGTGATTATGAAGAACTTTTTCCCTCTCAAATGTATTGATGAGATTCACAAGGTAAATTAAATAAGATAATAGATACTAGGTATTCAGTGCAGGGTCTCGCATATAGTACTCATTAAATATTACTAATTATTATCTTTAAAATTTTCCCATTATTCGTTTTAGAAATTTGACTTTGGGAGGAAAATCTGAAACAGGGGAAAACATTACACACAAAGATGTTCAATGCAAGATTATTTATACTAAGAAAAACCTAGATCTACCCCAAAGTCCAACAGCAGCATATTGGCTAGGAAAATGCTTGCATTCATAGGTTACGTAGCCATTACAAATGTTTATGAAGTTTGTATTATGTTGGAAAATATTTTTAATATTAGATTTAATGGGAAAAAGAGCAGAAGGCTTTGGTTGCCTCACTAGGGTGGGGAACCTGCAGCCTTGGGCCACATGTGGCTTTCTGGGTCCTTGACTGTGGCCTTTTGACTGAAACCAAATTTTACAGAGCATATCCTTGTAATAAAATTCCTGCCTCATAGTACGTGCTCAGTAAAAATTTGCTGAATGAATAAATTAGTGGTGAGAAAGTAATTGTCTCATCTATTTATCAGGACTCTGTAAATACAAGGAATATGTAATACTTTTAATTTTTAATTATAAAAGTGACACACAAATACACTCTCATTGGAAAAAAAAAGTTCAGATACTATGAGGCTCCCTTAATTAACATTCTTCCACTCCAAAACACACACTCCAGTCTTCTTTTCAGAGGTAATCACCTATCTTGTGTCTAGATACGTATTTTTTAAATCAATAACATCATGTTCTACGTATTATTTTGTAACTTTCTTTTTCTAATTAAAAATATCTTAGAAATTTTTCCATGCACACACCAAATTTGGCTATAATTCATTCGTTAACGTGTAGTCTGTGTCTGCTTTCCAAAGTTTGATTCTAGAGTAGACCAACCATTTTCCTAATGACAGATATTTAGGCTGTTCCCAGATTTTGCAATTTAAAAAGTGCTTCATAAACATTTTCTTCTTGCCTCTGTGTACACACACAACTATTTTTCTAGGGTAAAACCAAGAAAAGAACTTTCTGGGATAATGAATGCACCCATATTTAAGTGTAACAGGTATCACCGTATTTTCCTATCTTATTCTGAAGAAAAATAATGCAAACTTATCTAAAAGGGCATAAGCAAAACTGGAGAAGTTGCAAGCCTCGTGGTTAGCTGCACTCACCTGATAAGTCGTTGGTCCGATTGCTTACACAGTAGCAGTACCTTGTGGGGAATTTGGCAGGGTCCACGGTCTTCAGGTTCGAAACTGTGAAGAGGAAGGATTCACACAGAGATCCCAACACACAGAAGGGCCCTGCGGCCACCACCACCACCACCATGGAGAAGAGCCAGCCAGCACTTACTGTTGTAAATGGCCACAGAAAGCTTGTGGAAGGCGAAGGAACTGTAGGAAGTAATGCTCAGCAAGGAGAAGAACTTCTTGCTCTCTACCAAAACATACCAAGATAAAGACACTGGCAAATGCCCACTAACGTGGTAATAAACAAACAAGAATATGAGTCAGCACATAGACAATAGAAATTAATAAAACAATAGACAAATGATAAAAACAAATAGAAATAAACAATAAAATAATACAAATGAGAAATAAACTAAAATAAAACTAAACCAAAAAACCCAATAGTATGTGTCCCTTGGCTATAATTCCTGATCCGTCCTCGAGCTGTGGCAACTCTCAGGAAGATTCCAAGGTATATTAGTGACCTGAGGCAGCTGGAACAAAGTACCACAGACTTAGTGGCTTAAAGCAACAGAAGTTTATTCTCTCACAGTTCTGGAGGCCGGAAGTCTGACACTCAGCAGGGCCACGCTCCTGTCAGGGGCTCTAGGGGAGAATCTGTCCTCGCCGATCTGGACGCCGCAGCTGCCTGCATCCACTCGCTCGTGGCCACATCTCTCTCCGCCCTGTTGTCACGGCGTCTTTTCTTCTTCATGTGCCTCTCTTTGCCTCTTCCTCATGAGGACCCTCGTGATGCCGTTTGGCACAACCCAGATAATCCCAGATTATCTCCTCATCTCAAGACAAGGTCTTTAACATGATCACAGCTCTTGTCACAAGCGGTCATATTCCGTCTTCTGACATATAAGGTAGGACTCAGAGGTTCTGGTAATTACGAGGTGAATATCTTTGGGTGGCCATTTTCAGCCTACTATCCAGGGAAAGGGAAACATTTTTTTTTTTTTAGCCAGGAGTACTAACATAAACAACCAGAGTTAGGAATAGATGAATGAGCGTCATATCTACACTTAATCAGTGCTACTCTTGGTTTGTATCTGCGTGATAGTGCGGTAGAGGAAAGTCTTTCCCAACTATGGTCTGAGAACGAGCCACCTGCATCAGCTCCCCTGGTGTACTTGTTAAAAAGGCACATTTCTGGGTGTGACCCCAGATCTACTAAATCAGATTAAGGAGAAAGAGGAGGGGTGGGTACTCCCAGGATTCCAAATTTTAACAAAGTCCTCTGGTGATTTTTACTCATATAAATGTGTGACCTACTGAGATGGTGGCTGGAATGGCAGAACCAATAAACTTTGGTGCATCCAAATCACGGTGGTGCCCATTCCCCCTGGGCTCCTTGGCTGTCACCCTTTGAAGACACTAAAACCACACATGGGTGGGATCCTGGCTCTGCATTTTATAAGCTTCTTGGGAGAATGGGGTAAGTACCAAAGTTGAATACCCCAGTATTCAGTTTTTTTCAAGTTTTTCTGATGATAAGAATCACCAAAAACAGTTGGTACAAATGCACATTCAGGCTCCTTCCAAGACCAACTGGATCAGAATCCCTGGGGCAGGGATCTGGGAGCTGTCCAGTGTTTCTTACAACACAGCAAGTTTGTGCTGGATCACAGACCTGGCTTAAACAGACCTGAATTCTAATTCTATATGGCAGTGAACGTGCCTCAATTTCTGCACTTATGAAATGGGAGTGAGAGTATCACCGCACAGGTTATACCAGGATTAAATTAGTAATCGGAAGAGTTTTGAGCTTCTTGAAGGTGTAAGTTATGACTTTTAAGTCTCTGCAACATTTTGCAGAGCCCAGCGCAGGGCCTTGCAGAGGAAAGGACAAGATTGACAGGTGTTCGGGGCTGGGAGAGCTAGGTGTTTATGCAGACCACCCTCCATCTGATGTCTCAGTCTCTCCACGGTACCCATCACAGGTAGACCACTACCATCCTATTGTGCACCTCCCAAGGCAGCCCTATCCATGGCAACTCTCATGGGCAAATTGGAGGCAGGGACCATATCTTTGTGACTGCAGCTTCAGGCATTAGGACAGGTATGGATAGCCCCTCAAATAGTGTTGATGAGTAAATAACTAAGTGAACAAGTGTAAAGCCACCAAGCACAGTTGTGCAGTTTGTGTATTGCATAGTCCTAGGGAATGCCATTTCCATGGAGGTCAATGCTGAATAGGCATTCTCCACCCTCATTGTACATAGCACTTGTCATTACCTATTTAGTATACATAGTGTTTAATTTCTGTTACTCTTTTGCCCACTGGAGTGGAAGCCTCCCCAGGCTGGGGACTTTTGTCCTTTGTTCATTCCTTGACCCCCAGTACTTAGGATAGTCCCTGGCATGTGATAGGTGCTCCATAGATATTTACTGAACAAAGTGGAGTATAAATAAGGAGTGTGCACTAGGGATGCTCCATGCTTTGCTGTCATTCACTAGGTACACACCACATATTAGTTATTTTCCTAGAAGCTAAGAGAACATAGAAGATTGGAATAATATTGTAAGCACTCAGTAGAAATCCAGAATCGTATTAACTTAATCAGCAAATGATTTTGTCGGTTTATGGCAACATAGTTAAAATTACAAATGTCTGCACACACACCATATTTGGAATGCAGTTTGCTCTCAAAATGCTCAAAAACCTTCTCCTTCATTTTGATGTTTTCAATCTCATCTCGTTAGGTAGGACAATTTATTTTCTCCTGTGAACACGGAGCAACTGAGACACAGAGAAGCTATATGTCTCGTTCAGGTCAAAGAGGGGTTCAGAAGAGAAGCTGGTACAAGACAAAAATGAGCCTGGATTGTGCCTTAAAAAATGATTACCTTTTAAAGCTCTACTCAGCATCCCATTCACGAGCTCTGTCAGGTTAAGTGCAGACAGATCGATCGACCTTGCAGGTAGCTCTGAAAGAGATTCAGAGATAACATCACCACTGGCAGGCTTTTCTCAGTGGCAGAAAAACTCCTCCTTTCCAAACTTCAGGCAGATGTACTTCCTCTTTGGATGTGTGTTCAACACATATCAGTGCCAGGCACAATGGGATTGAAGACAAGAGGCAATTCTTGTCCTCAGGAGGTGACAGCCCACATAGTGACAAATGTTGTTAGGAGAAATCCAAATGAAGCACAGGAAACTCTTTCAGTGTCTATTTTATCTCTGCAATTGGAGAGAGCAGGGATTTATAGGAAATAACTCATCCACAGTGGAAGCCCCAGGGCATCGCGGGAGTTCTCAACAGCTCTGTATTTGAAAATAAGTACACGGTGCAACAGTGAGTCTCAAAGCTTGGGTAAGCATTGACATCACCTGGAAAGATTATTTTAAATTCCCCACAATTCCCGTGCATGATCTCAATCCTCAGAGATTCTGATTGAATTGGTCTGGGATGTGACCCAAACATCAGCGTCGGGGAAAAAGTTGCCCAGGCATTGGTAGTGTGCAACCGAGTAGAGAGATGCTGTGGGGTTAAAATCCTCCCCCCTCGCCCCCATCGGCTCCTAGATAATCTTTGAAGATTTGGAAACAACAGGTGACAAGGTGGAAATAGTTGCTGCTGTCCCCACTGTCATCCCCGCTGTGGGCACTGGGGACAGAGGTCAGGAAGTGGAAGAATCTGCTCTGCAGCCCAGGCCCCCAGGGAATAGGGGAGGGGCTCACCTGTGGTAGCGAGAAAGGCCAGCCCCTTTTCCTTCCTCTCTCCTCCTCTGAGGCCAGACCCTGGGAAGGAAAAAGACTTCATGAGAGAAATGCGAATCTCCAGTCCCAGCTCCTGGAGCTGGACAAGACTTGGAGGCCTCCACGGCGCGGCTCTCAGGCCCCCAAGTGCCAGAATCCCAGGGACATTGAGGAAAGGCAGGTTCCAGGATCCTCCTGTGTCCCCTCTTCCAGATGCTAGTCTCCTTGGGCTGGGTGTGGCCTGGAAAGCCACATTTTAATAAATACACAAGGTGATTCCGATGCAGGTGGTCTAATGGAGCCCACTCCTAAGCTAGGCTGGGAAACTGGGGAGAGAAGAAACTTGCCTAAATTTGCAAACTGACCAGTGGTAATGAAGCTCTCCCCACCTGCTTCTTAGAACTGCAGAGCAGCGGCCAAAATATCAGGCCTCTTGCCTCCTTGGCAACTTTCATGCTATCAAAGAAGAAAGTGTCAGAGGAAAATTTGAAATGTCAGAGGCCTTCATTCATTCCTTCTTTCATTCATTCATTCAACAGATATTCACTGAAGGCCAAGCAATATGCTAGGCGTGGACTATAAAGTGGTACATGGGAAAGAACCAGGTCTCTGGCTGCATGGAGCTTCCTGTCTGTGATTTGGTCAGGGAGGAGAGTTAGATGTAGAGACAGGTGAGGCCTGTTAATACAGAGAACAGCAGGTGCTGTGAGCACATTCATCAGGGCACTAACCTGTCATGGGGGATAGGGAAGGCTTCCTAGTGGGAAAAACATTAAGCTGAGACAAGAAAAATCAGTTATTTGGATTAGATGATATATAATTATATTGCATTTGTTGCTGTTATTGTTGCAGTGATTATTTTTCACTTTACATTTAAATGGAGAATGTGCTTTATGTCCATTTTATAGAAGGAAACACCAAGGCACAGAGTCTGAAAATGTGCCAAGAGTGACAGTGTAAGTTGGGGTTTAGGGTTGGCCTGGTGACCTGTTGCACCAAGGAAAGCCCCATCTTTTTCCTTCTTCACGTCTTTATTTCCAGACACTGAAATAAAAGGTTTCATGAGCAAAATAGTATCCTGGAAGTGCAGCCTCACACAATTCATAACATCCTTAGAAATCATCTTGTCCAGCACTCCCTTTGAAGGGTGAATAAACTGAGAGCCCAAAAAGTTAAGTGATGTACCTAAATCCCACATTAGGTGAATGGCTACGATGAATTTAGAACACAGGTATCTCAGCTCTTTGTCCATGTTATTCTCCCTTGCTTTTTATTTTATTTTATTTTGTATTATTGAGGTAAGAACACTTAACCTGAGATCTGCCCTCTTAACACATTTTACAGTGTGTGATACAGTATCGCTACTTATCATCACTGTTGCCGAGCAGATGTCTAAAATTTATTCGTCTGACATCACTGAAACTTTGTATCTATTAAACAACAAACTCCCCATCTACCCGTCCCCAGCAGCCCCTGGACCACCTTTCTACTCTCTGCTTCTGTGAATTTGACTGTGTTAGCTACCTCATGTAAGTGGCATCACGCAGTATTTGTCTTTCTGCGACTGACATATCACTTAGCATGATGTCCTCCAGGCTCATCCATGTTATTGTACATAGCAGCATTTTCTTCCTTTTTAAAAGACTGAATAATACTGCATTGTGTATATACACACACATATATATGTGCATGCCACATTTTCTTTATCCATCCATCCATCAATGACATTTAGGTTGTTCCTCCTGCTTGTCAAGTACCCTGTTGAAACTGAGATCAAGTCAGTTGTTGCACGCTTATGCCAATTTGGCCTTTTTTTTTTTTTTTTTTGTGAGCCACCTCTTTGGCCCTTCTTAACAACTAAAAATATGTCATATAAAATAATGTAACTGAGCAAAGTTTTTAAAAGGAAGGCCATATGTGATTCATGACAAATATAACTCACAACATCTTACATTCCTAAAAAAATCTCGAATTAATAAAAATTTATCTGGCTAATTCTTTTTTTTATATTTGTTTATTTATTATTCCAGGGTTTTGTGAGGGTACAAACATTGTAGTTACACTTTATGACTTTGCCTCGCCCAAAGGCATGCTCTTCCCTCCCTTTAGTGCTCCTCGTGTCCTTTAGTTGTAGATTTGCCCCCCCCCATCCCCCTAATCCCTAGAGAGTATTTGGCCTTTTATCAGTTAGCAAGCTTTCTGATCAAATATCAAAACTGGGGCTATAGGTAGGTGGGGACTACAAACTCCTTTCCCCACAATAGGGCTGTGGGAAACGGGGTTATGTTACAAAAAAAGGGAGTCTGAGACAGACATCAAACATTAAGCAGGCCAAAGGCTGTCAACCAACCAGCTCTCTAGCTTGGGAGGCCAGCTCCGCCCCCGCGGGCACTCTGGGTGGCAATGGACGGGAGGGAGCAGTCACTCTCAGGCAACCGCTGTATGATCTGTGGGCAGCATCAACCAACCTTGCTAAAAAGCCCCGGCAGCAGAGTCCTCCACACAGGTGAGGGACCTAGGATTATATGACTTCTGGGTTTCCAGGCCACAGGGGTGCTATCAGCTGTGGGGTTTGAAGAATTCCTACACCTTTCCAGCCAGGATGGTGGGCCCTGTGCAATCTTTCTGACCAAGCACCTTTCTTGAACACCACTCCTTTCACCAAGGAAAAAATTATTTCTACCACTCCTCCTTGTAATTACAAATCCTTGGGTGGATTTTGATAACAATATTTGAAGTGTGAACTAAACACTCCTGAAACACAGACTTTTGAATAGGATATAATATGGAAGCAGTTTTCAGATAACTTGCTGGACAGATTGTATAAAGCCATTGTTATATTTTTGGATTAAAAGACCACCATAGTAGTATCTTTAAAATAGAAGATACCTGGCACTTTTTGTACTTCTTCATGCTTAGTATTTTATCACCTTTTATCCCTTATGATTACCTGTGGAGAAGAAATTGTTGCTCCCATTTAAAGAGGAGAAGATTGGAGACTCAGATAAGGAAAATATTTATGGAAAATTATCCTACTTATACACAATGAACTGGTACAATTGGCATCCTCAGGCAAAGGGAAGCGGTTTGCTGGAGTAGCATTTTAACTTTATACACTGAACAATATTGCATTGTGTGTGTATATACATGTATGTATATATGTGCCACATTTTCCTTATCCATTCATCCATTAATAACTTTTTATCTTTTGCTATTTGAGCCGTGTGAATGTACTAATTAAAAATAAATAAAATTTTAAAAATAAAGAATAACCCCATCCCCTCCCAAGCCAAAAGCATACCACATAAATTATCCTGCTCGTTTACCAAAAATTTAGGAACAGAAATCTCATCGTCCCTGTCTCTCTTGTCCTTTATGTTGCAATGTACCCATCATCTCTCTGCACAACCAATTTCATACCATCAAGAAAGGAAAGGCAAAGAAAGAAGAAATTATTATAAAGGTGATGATGGCAAATAACAATACTTCCCATTGTAAAATCTTCTGTCTCCAACAGAATGTCACAGTCTTTGTGGACTTAATAAGATCATGAAAACCCAAGCATTCAATGAACCGTAAAGTAATAAGTGGCTCATAGGAACTATTACAATGACTGTTAGAACATTAGATATAGACACAATCTCCATTTATGGCCAGAGAAAGTAAGGCTCAGGGAAATCAAAGAATTTGCCCAAGAACAGGGTGGACCAGGGAGGAGCACCTGCGCATTTACCTGTTGTAGGTAGGAAGGCCATTTCCTTTTCTTTCTTGGCTCCTGCTTTAATGCCAGACACTGGAGCAAAACAGGTTTCATCAGAGAAATTATAATCCAGGCATAACATCAGATAAAATCTAATCCCAAATGCCTGTTTTATAGATGAGAAAATTATGACCTGGAATTGTGAAGTGACTTGCTTAAAATCACACATCTAGTTTGTTCATTCATTTAATCATCAAATATTTATTGACCAACTATAATAATATGAATGATTGATAATATTATCGAGCACCTAGAATTTGCTGGACATCGCATGTGTTGGGAAGGAAGTGAACTCAAGGACATCATTATAAACAATGCTGAATACTTTGAAGGGAACCGTGGGAGTGTGTAATGGGAAGGAATCCGGAAGCCTTCCCCGGGAGGAGACATTGAGCTTAGACCTGATGGATGAATGGTATTTGAGTAGTTTTTAACTGGCTGAGGGGTATTTGATGTATAGAGAACAGCACATACCCAGACCTGAGGTGGGCTTGAGTATAACTTCAAAGAATTGAAAGGCGGCCAACGGGGATGGCGTATAAAGAATGAAGGAGGCGGAGATTTGTAGAGACTGGTGATGGGGAGGCAGGCAGGGTCCTGCAGAGCCCGCAAGGACTGGGGACACTACACAAAGAGAAGGAGGAAGTCAGTGAATAATTTGGGGCAGGGCAGAGACATGAGGGAGGAATTTGGAAGGTGACAGAATGAGATTTAGGAAAAGATCACTCAGGCTGCTGAGTGGAGCAAAGAGCATGGGGAGACAAGAGGATAAGCTGACTTAGAAAGCTCCCTTCGTGGTCCAGGCAAAGGAAAATGGTGGTGTGGACAAGGGTGGTAATGGTGGAGGTGAAAAGTTGCATAAATGGGACTCATAAAGTCAAGGGAAAAAAACAGGAATAGGGAATTTATTACTGTCATTCCGAACAAATTCATTTAGCATTCTGGGCAGATATGTTGGCTGCTGAGATTCTCTAAAGCACAGTGAATACTCAAACTTCCTATGTAGAAGAGACACTTCTGGAACTCCGACCAGACCCACCTGTGTTCCAAAGGGACAGGACACACATCAGGCCCACGCACAGCCTCACCTGAGGGCCGTGTAACAGGAAGCCAGCCATGTCTGCGATACTTTGGCCCACCTGCGAGGAAGCAAGGGAGAATGTGGAGGAAACTGCCGGATTACTAAGAGCATTGATGCGGAATGTCCTTTGTGGACAGTGCATGGGGAGTCATTAGAATTAGAAACTGAAAAAGCCTTTGTATAATACTAGTTAGGAGAGCTTAGGATGCCGAGGTACAAATTAACGCCACCATTTCATTGACTTAATTCAACAACAAAAGTTGACTTTTTGTTCGCAGTGCATATTCACAGCAATTTGGTGGCTCTGCTCCACACAGTCTCTCAGGGACCCCTGTTATTTGAGGCTCCACTATCGTGTAGTTCTCTATCCGGTAACTGGGGCCTCCTTAGTCAATGGTTCACTGTGGCAATGGGAGGGAGAGACCTGCAGGGTCATGCGCCAACTCAAAAGTGCTTTGGCAAGAAGCAGCATATTCACTTTTACTTACAGCACATGCAAAAATTACTCATATGGTCTTGCATGACTGCAGGATATCTGGGAAGATGGGAGGGGGTGCATGCATACTCAGGGAGCATTAGTGTCTCTTCTGTGAGTTTTCTGGCTAAATAGCCATCTAAACAGGTGGGAAATGACCTCCAAATACAGCATCACTACTGCTCAGCAATAGGAAACTAATATCACTAGAAGAGTGTATATGAGTGTTCAAAGCCACTTTCCTTCTCTGCAGCCGTGTGTGTCAGCCATTCTTTGGGGCATTTGTCAGGCAAAATCACCATGATAGTTACAGCTGTGAAGCTGAGACTAATAAGAATAATGGCAACATTTATTGAGCACTTTCTGCATGTCAAATGCCACACAGAGTGCTGTCTGATGCTTATTATCACTTGATAACTACACAATCTCTATGGGTCGGTATTAATATAATGCCCATTTAACATACAGGCTGCACAGACTTGATCTGAAAAGAACATAAGTTTGCCATTGGTAGAGGATTGAATAGATCTGGAAAGTGACTTGGGAGGGAAGAAAGTCAAGAGAATGTGTCCTGGGGTCGAGGGAAAATGTTTCAGGAACTGAGCATCTTCATGGTATATCACATGTCGAGAAGTTCTGCTATCCATTAGGAATGGGAGTGCCCTGCGGCATTTGCTTTTGAGAGATCCCAGCAAACATTTAAGTTGCTTTTTAATTATTGGTAGATACCTGGCTGGTGTTTCTTCTAGGCACCACCTTGGACAGAGACAGGCCTTACAAGGGAGCAAAAGGCTGGGGCTTTCTTGGAGTTCTCTTATTCTCATCAAACTTTTTACTGTATGAATCTCAGTTTTCCTCATCTGCAAAATGAGATTAAGAGAACCTAGCTCTCAGGGTCTTTGTGAGGATTTAAGATAATAAATCCAAAGCATTTAATCCAGTGTCTGGCACAGAGTAGTGCTCAGAATACCTACCGGGCATCAAGCTCAGACTGGAGACACAAGGACATAGGACAGAGCCAACACTGCCCCTTCCCTTATGATGTTTAGTAACTCAGAGGAGATAGACACATGCCCAGCTAGTTCACACTCAAGGCCAATTGTGCTAAGTTCTCCAGAGAGAGATTTACAAAGGGGATGAGGAAGAGACAGAGAGAGAGAGAGAGAGGTGGAGGAATGGAGGGAGGAGAGAAAGGGAGAGAGAGCCTGGAAAACCCAGGATTTAGCATTCTCTCCAGCAAAGTGGTACAGCAAGTGGGGTGGGCAGCAACATGGAAAACTAAGTGAGGATTCTTTCCTCCGCACCTCAACTGCTATGGAAACATCCCCTTACCTTTCTGAACCTCGTGTATAGAATGGACAAAGTCATAGCTGCCTTGAAGGTATTTTGTGAAGATTAAATGAGAATATGAAATACGATGCCTACTGCAATCTCCGGAATATGGTAGATACTAAGGAATCTTATTTCTTTCTCATTCTCTTATCTTTTTCTCTTTCCTCCTCCTCTGCTTCCTCTTTTGTGTCTCTTCTGGGATTCAGCATCATACCAGAAGCATAAAGAATGAACAAATAAAAATTTACAGTAGAAAAACAATTATTTGTATCTACTTAGAATAGCTACATTTTTTGACTCTTGTTCCATTATGTTAACTACTCTTTTCTATTTGCTAAGAGTAAACATGCTAATATTTATTACTTTAAGACAATTTCTATTGATTTTGTGCTTGGAGAAAAATGTATTTTTCCTTCTGTTTTTTTATTCTTTGCCATTGACCAAGTCAACTATGTGTTTGGATTAAGGTCGCCAGACTTAGCAAGTAAAAACACAGGACACCCAGTTAAATTTGAATTTCAGATACCAATGAATGATATTTTAATATATCTCATGTAATATTTGAGAAAACTCTAGTTCGGAGAGTTGGAGAGTATTACTGAAGAAAACTTTGCAACTTATACAAGCAGACTGGATGGACTTCACCTCACAGCAAAACTGAGAACATCTGACCTCCTCAGGCTCCTCCTTGCAAGCCTGGGGTACTGTGGGACAGCCTAGGGCAAGGGAAGAGCCTAGGTTTAAAGTCAAACAGACTTGATTTGAATCTTGGGTTGGCCGGTGTGATCTGGGTCAAGTTACTCAACCTTCACTCACTCAAAAAATATTAGTGGAGCTCACAGCATAGTTGTTACAAGCACAGACCCTGGAATCAGAGGACTGCTTGGGTTCACCTCCCAGCCCTGCCATTTGCTAGCCGTGCAGTTACCAAACCTCTCTGTGCCTCAGTTTCCTCGCTTAAGACTGTCATGAGGGCTAAAATACATTACATTTATAAACTTCAGTGGACGGTGTCTGGCACACAGCAAGTGCTATAGAAGTGTTTAACAAATAAGTAAGAGTGATGGTACTTAAGAATAGTTGTTGGGGCTCCAATAGTAAGCAAGACAGACAATGTTCTCCGTATGACAAAGTTACAATCCTCAAAGTTATATCTTACAGAGATGGGATTAGATGTCCAATACTTTACCATAAAACCAGTTTATCATTATTTGAGTGCATTTCCCATGGCTACTATTAGATAATTATTAATGAATTGGTTTTTCTTAGTTACAGTTGCAGAAAAGCAAGTCATGTAGTGATAAGACAACAATAATAATATACTGAAGGGAAATTGGAATATACCATCCCAAAATATGCCCCTTTGGCACATGGATTGTTTTGAGTGGAAGGCCATCGCATTAACGGATGCAGACAGAAGCCTCCTTGGAGCTTTTCTTACCTGACTGTGCAGACACTTCTGAAAAATGAGGATTGCTGTAAATCCCCTCTTTCAGGGGAGTTTTATGGCCACGAAGAAGATGGAAAGTCGACACTGAGATGGGCTTGCACAAACATGCTTACTAAAACAACCCTCATGTCCCATTAGTGTCCCCATATAGTTACCTTACAATAATTTACCCCCTCTAGAAGCTCAAAATCCTTCTCCTTTATCTTGTCACTTCTCCACAAATTTATCATTCTTTGGTTAAAACAATATACAAACATTCTGGTCTGATGGCTCCTTTGGGATTTTCATTTCATTTTTGTGAGGCCCCCACGAGCATATGAATAAACCATTTTCTCTTGTTAATCTGTCTTTTGTCAGTTCAATTTGTAGGGCCCCAGACTCTGCACTCTAAAAGGGTATAGAAAACAGGCTCCCTGACAGTACACTTTATTGAGCATCCTTTTTTGGGGGTGATCTCAGTTATTTTACCTTCTCGAGTCCCCTGTGAGATAGACATTGAAATTCTGGCTACACAGGAGAGAGACCCGGGGATCTGAGGTGTAGCGCCGCAGTCCACAGTTGCAGGTTCCTAAGTGGAAGAACTGGGATTTGAACCGTGGTCTCTCAGACACTAGGTCCATAGTCTCTTTTTTTCCTATTCTACTCTCCTGCTCTCAAGATACCATCCTAGAGTGCCAATAAAGGGCCTGATAGTAAAACCAAACAGAATCAATCATTCCAAAGCATCTTGGGGGTGGAAGGGGTTGGAAATCCAGTCCCACTGCCAAGAGAAGGGCTGAGGAGCACTGTTTTCACTGACGAGCTAAGAATCCACCCAAGAATCTTGTGAAATTAATTCACAATATGTCTGTGTTTGGTCGCAACAGTCCTGGAGCTGGGAACACGGATGATAAGGACGAAACCTCTGGAGTCTTAATTAAACATTGTCTTACCTCCAATTAACAAGCATCCCAAATCAACCAAAGTTAGGTTAGCCTGACAAGCAAACTTGTCCTTCTCACTGTACTTTGCAACTGAAAGATGCCCAATCAGATACAGAATAATGACAACGTGCCGTGGAGGGGTGAAAACTCACACTGAAGTATCACCTGGTTTGAGCCAGACACGGTGAGTGGCAGGTGTTCTTGAGACATTATTACGGTCGATTCGCTCAGCAACCTTCCATATAAGTATGAGTTCCCCCTTCCTGAAGAGGAACCAGAGGCTTGGGATTCTAGATAGTCAGACGAAGGTCATTAAGCTGGTGGGGAAGCCCTGGACTTCAAACTCAGGCAATTGGCGCCATAAGCTGTGAGATACCACGGTAAGGTGAGGGTCAGCTTTTTAAAAGTCTGATGAAGAAAGAGAAGTGGAGGATCTAATATTTGTTGACCATCTAATGTACTAGGAATTTTACACATGGTAACCTATTGGTCCTTGAAGCAACCCTACTAGTTACTATTAACCTTATGTTATAGTATGAGGAAACCAAGGCTCAGACAAGTGAGTGGCCTGAGGGAACACAGCTGAGAGAGCCAGGACCGGGACCCCAGTCTGTTTACTGCTGAAATCCATCATTGGCTGAACACTGACTAAGAAGTTACAATGTTTTAGCAGCTGTCGTGCTACCAGCCGTTTTTTAGGCTATTCTTTCATCCTCATTCCAATTCTTTGGACTTAAGATTATGTTTCCTTTATCACAGATGAGAGGACAAGCCATCTTTCTAGCTGATGACTGCATTTAAGATTCTAATCAATAGCTTAAAAGGAAAAATGGAAAGAAATAGACTGTGATCAAATG